GTACAGCTCAGCTACTCAGTTCACGCTGGCCTGGAAGCAGCCCAGGGTGATAGGGCCAGGGTGGAGGGACCAGACATAGACCCCAAGGCCACTCAGTCCTCCATGACCCACCAGACACACCTGGAAGTGTATGCCACCAGTTCTCTGGGCAGATCCCAAAGCCAGGCAGTGTCAACCCTGGTCCACCCTAACCAGTACCGGGGCAGGGCATTGGAGCTGGAGGTCGCAGGGTACCAAGTCGCGGTGATGTAAGATGTAGATGTAAGGCGTGCAGTTCTGTCTCTAGCAATTCCTGCTGTGCTGTGCCACAGACATTTGCCCAGAGAGTAGATGTGAGGTACTGATATCCCACAGTCACAAAATGTAGCAGCGTGAGGTTGTTAACACATGTTAATTTGCTAGACTATCGTAATAGAGTTTTAAATATATATATTTCACATTGTATATGTATAACATACACAAACACAATTTTTAAAGCCTCAGAGAACACGAGTTCAGCTCTTTCTGTGACAAGCTGCTGTTGGAGGTCGTGGGTTCACGTCAGAGAATGAGCTGCAGGTCCCTGGCCCGTGGGTTCTATCTTCTGTTCTCCTGTTGGCTCTTTCCTTTACCAGCATAACTGTGAGGTGCGCTTAGCAGTTTCCTGGTCGGATCCACAGCATGCCCAGCTCATCTGTCTCCTGAAGGTATCTTGGCAGGAAGAGGGCAGGGGTGCTGTCAGGCGGGGCAGGACACTGCGGGTGTGGCTGCTGCCTGGACTCAGTCATCAGTTTGGAGCAGAGAGGATGTGAAAAGTGTCCCTGAGACCCTACCCTACACAGTCATCCCTCAGGGTTCTCAGGGGACAGTTCTCAGGTCCCACAGCAATCTGTGGGTGCTCCAGGGTCTTCTATAAGACAGTGTAGTATTTCCATGTAACCTGTGCACATCCTCCCCTGGACTTTATTTTCTTTTTAAATTAAAAAAATTTCATCAGCCCATGTTTGGAGTGCATAATGTTAGCATTCCTTGAGTAGAACTCGTCCGCGTAGGTAGTACAGCTTCACTGCCTTTTCCTCCCATGTACTGTACGTCATCTCCAAGTGATTTACACCACCTAAGGCAGTGTAAAAACTGGGTACCCTGCTGCGTTGCGTTTTTTAGAGAATAGTGAGGAGAGGAAAGGCCCTGCATGTTCAGTGCAGGTGTCAGTTTTCCCCTAATATTTTCAGCCTGCCGTCAGTTTAACCCCAGACCACTGAGCCAGCTGATGCGGGGGCCAGTGGGGCCCGGCTTTTCTTTTGAGTTTTTGTTTCTTCTCTTCTGCCCATTGTTTTTTTCCCTTTTTCCTGTTCTGTCTTCTTGCATTAATATTTTGCTGTTTTCTGAGCCTGTTTATCTCTATCCATTTTTCTTTTCCCACCTCATAGCATACTAAATAGTTGGATTTAAAATGTCATATTTGTATTTTCTGTTCTTGAAAGTTAGAAATAATTTAAAGATCCTATTACCACATTTATACTGTATTAAAATGATTCTCTTACTTACCCTACCCCAGAAGACTTTTTTTGTGGCCTTGAATTAATAACTAGTTAAAAAGTTGCTCACCACTGGGTAAACAACAATTTAAGGAATAATAAGAAAACAAAACTATCTACACTTAAACCACTCATAGAAGATGCAAAGTTATTGGTTGTGTAAGTTTGGGTTTAGTTGATAATCATTCAAGGTATTGCTCTGTTTTTGTTGAATTTAATGAACCAGCAAGTTTTGGATATGAAAATGCTAATATTTACAGGGATGCTCAGAGCTGTGTTGTGCATCAGATTTGCCGTTTCTGGTTTTCCTTCCTTGGTCTGATCCCGAATTCGTGGCCACATCCGGGGCTTGACCCCCGGCCCATCCAGCTGCGTTAACAGAAGCCTTCCTAACTGGGAAAAGGCACTAACCTGAGGACCTGAAGGTGGGGGATTCAGTGTGGGCTTTTGTTGTGATCGGCAGAGCCTTTGAGCATTTGGTGCCTGCTTCCCGGTCTGGTCGGGATTGTTCAAGGCCCCCGAATCCTTTGTGGGAGCTTCTGGAGCTGAGCCTCCAGTTTCCCTGGGAATGAGGTCCCCAGCGTGACCTTTCTGCACTGACCCACTACTGTTATGCTTGTCACCAAGAGGAGTTGCCTCTTTGCTCTCTGGGTTTATTTTATATAAAATATCTCATACTTCTTTACAGTGGTATTTACTGGAGTTCAACTGGAGGGTTGCCAAACAGTATTATTACATAATACTTTTAAAAATTTGGCATAAATTTAATAAGCTCATACAATCTAATACTAATAGTAAATTAGAAACTACTAAATTGCTCATGGTGCTTAATATAACTACACCATTTAGGTATTAAAGCTTTCTTATGATGATAAACATCAATGCTTGGATGTTATCTGCAGTTTATTTAAGGTCCAGAAAATACGATGATTCGCATTCCAGGACACAGGGACCTCAACCATTCCCTTTGCAGACTGGTCTGCCTGAATTCAAACAGGTAACAATGATCTTGATAGAGAGGACACTGACCTCATTTTCCAGTGCAAATGAATGAAGCTTAAATCCAAGAAAGGCTTGCTATTTTATAGAGAAAAGAATATTTTGAGGAAAATCTGGAAATAGCTTTCCTCACAAAGATCAGGTGAGTTGGCCTATTTGTGGCACGTTTACTTCTCATAATCACTTGATGTAGAGAGCTCTTGGGTGTGACACAGTGCTAAACGACCAGTTTGATGGGATTCCCTGTTTCCTGAGATTGTTTTCCGGAGCGTGGGAAGCATCTGAAATGTCATGGCTGAACATTGACCTGGATTCTCAAATTGCTGAGATGTGTGGTAACATTTGTTCTTTTTAAGTACCAGAGTCAGGTCAGATGCACAATAGAACTTGGGATATCATATACAAGTCAATATTTAATGCACATTTGCTGTTTGAAAACATAATATATATTTTGGAAACATGCTTGGAGTCCAAAGTACTTGTATATATAAGTGAATTTCTCCATAAGAACTAATGGAAACTCAGATGATTCATTCCACAACCCAAAAATATTGATATAAAATGATTAAGGTGCTTTAATACAAGATAATAAAGAAAACACAAAATATATGAAGAAAAATAAGCAAATTAGCCTGCACTTACCTTTGGAAACCTTTGTGGCTGTGGTCAGGAAGATAAGAGAGAGGTGGGCCAGGGTGTTGGAAGCTTTCACTAATGCCATTAATGGAATCACTGCCAGTTCCATTGGCTTCATGGAATCTTTTTCTTTTTGTGCAGCTTTAGCGAGGACCCCATCTGATGACACTTTTGAGAATTTTGTGGCAGTGTGACATTACCTTGTCATTAAATAGATTCATGATTTGGGCAGCTACAGCCTTATTTGAGTGGTGCTTTTCTACACAGTTTTGCACTGTTTCCCACATTTTACAAATCTCCTTAATCTCATTTGAAGTGAGGGATTCCTCTGCCTTTTCCTTCTGCTGCTCTGCAGATGAGATCTCCTCCATAACCCCTTGCTGTTGGGCGATGATTCCCCCAGTCCTGGAGGGGATGAAGAGAGGGAGAGGAAGAGGGAGCGAGAGGGAAGGAGGGAGAAAGAGAAACCGTGGGCTCCATTGTGATTGTGTGATGTTCTGCCTCACGTACTACTTGTATTGCAAGAAGCCACTCATTTATCAAGTTAAAATGTACTAGCAATGTTTGCTTGTCTTGTGGAACGCTTACAGAACCGGTTACTTACAATATAAGGTCATCTATCTATCTATCTATCTATCTATCTATCTATCTATCATCTATCTATCTATCTATCTATCTATCTATCTATCTATCTATCTGTCTGTCTACCTATCTGAAAGTCTGTCTAGGGAGTACCCAAACCCCTGGTTGACTCCCAACCCCATTAGGCAGGTGGTCATCCCTTCCCTAGCAGTCCAGGGGAGAAGGTCTGTCTATGGAGAAGAGGAAATTATCAGAGAAATAATATAGATGACTTCCCAGAACTGAATGGCATAATGACCGGAAGGTGCCGTAGAGTGCTCAGTACAGTGAGGACACAAAGACCCAAACTAAGGAGCAGCATGAGATTTCATGAAAATGATGCTGAGAGGATCTCCTGAGGTCTATTTAAAGTGAAACAGCGAAATTTATAGAAAATACCCTGGCTAAGGGGGTTCCCAGAGTGATGCTACTGAGAAGTCCTGAACGGAAGCTGTGCACAGAGCTTTGAAGGCAACAGACAAAGGCCCGGGAGTGACAAGAATGGACAGGAATGTGTCGGGGAATCATTGGGACATGACACATTACCTGATGTTTGACCTTCTTGAGGAGTTTTAGAGTTCTCTAAGATAATTGGGATCTCTGAGTGCTAACTACATGGAAAAATAATTAGGAAAATAAAGCGAAGCTTAAAATTTAAACATGGAGCAAGAAAGAAAATGTAATTATAGTAGCACAGCTGTGAACAGTATTTGCAGAATCATAATATGAATATGAAATAGCAATGTTACCCAAAACCAGTGATGTATATTAGAATGTCCCAGGGACAGGAGGGGTTTCCATGAGCTTAGGTCAGGAAGATGATTTCTGAAATGCATTAGACCAGGACATAGCAGCGTCAGTATTCTATTCAAACACCAACACCTCGGCAAACACCTGAAGAAGTGGTGGTGGGGGCCATGTGACAGTACCTGCTATCTGCTTATCTAATACCTGCTTAGGAAATTTCATACCTGCTTAGAAACATTTCATATTCACATTGGCATCATTCCCTTTAAAGCTTTTTCTTCACTGAATGTAATACATACGTGCTGCTTATGGAAACGTTTAAGAATTAGGTAACTATAATCTTAATTTTAAATAGGAATTTCTAGGATTATTAATGCATAGTGACATATATTACCTTGTGTGTTTTTTTTTTTTGCTTTATAGAATAATATAGTAACTCATGATACATGAATATAAATAATCAAACCTTCTGCTTTGCAGGGTGGAGAGCACTGTTACTACCATGGGAGCATCAGGGGTGTCCAAGGCTCCAAGGTGGCTCTGTCGACGTGCAATGGACTTCAGTACGTGGGAATTGCATGGGGTCTTCTCCTTCCAAGCTCGCTTTTATCCATGCAGTGCTTCTGTGTCCCCCGGATGATTATCTCAGCGACTCTTTTGTGCCAGTTCCCTCTCAGGAACCAGAATGGAGCTTTTCACAGGGAGGCAAAGTCCCTTCTGGGGCACTTAAAGAGTCGTGAAGAGATTCAGAGATTGAACAAATGATTGCACAGATTAATATTTCAGTGTCATTTTAGTAGGTGTTGGAAAAGGAGAGGACCAGGGGCATATTAGTTAGCTTTCTATTACTTTGACAAAATACCTGAGGTAATCAGTTATAAAGAGAAAAGATTTTCTTTGAGGTCACAGTTTTGGAGATGCCTGATTGGCCCTGCTGTTATTGGACCTGTGGTGACGTAACACATCTTGGTCCATGTGCAATAAGACCTCTTGCTACAGAACCAGGAAGTAAAAAAGAGAGTGAGACAGAGTCTTCAATCCCCTGGGTTAGACTTAATTGTAGCTAGCGGTTACCGGGGCTAGGGTGGGCTGGCAAAGAGGAGTTCATGCATGGCTTTGCAGGCAGATTCTAAAATAATGTCTGCAGGCATCTTTTTGGACCCAAGCATAGTGGCACTATATATGAAGACTTAGTTTTCCCATGTGTTCAAAAGGAATCATGAAACTTTTTTATACTTTATTTTAAAAAAATCTCATGTCTTTCAAAGTGAAGTGTGATTTATGTGACATAAAATCATACTGCATTTTGGAAATTCACAACTTATAAAAATACTTGTGTTTATTTTTCGGAATCAGATGGCTTTATATGCTTACACAAAGGACCTGTCTGTTTTCATCTAGATAACATTGGATTTGCCTATGTGTAGCTAGAAATTTTGTACTAGTTGTACAAGGTTCTGTAATAACCCAAGATACTGCCCCTATATGAGTCATTTTTTCTCAGATTAGTGTTCTAATCTGTCCACTTTACATCACAACCTATCGTTTGTATGTTATTGGTGTACACTTTTATGCTTTTTGTGACCCCGGGTTCTCTAAGGAGTTTTGGGTCGACATTGGGAGTCCACATAGATATTTGGATTGGGTTTGAGTCAGTAGAAAGCTACTCGTTCAGATGCACTCTTGGTTTGAAAGACATGATGTTTGTGTGCTGTGTCTGGCCATGCAGAGCGCTTGTTAATCCTCTCCCGTGTGCTCTCTTGTGCTGCAGTGGGATGTTTGCAGACAACACCTCGGTGTACATGATAGAGCCGCTGCAGCTGGTTCATGATGAAGTGAGTCTCCCGCGTCGGTTTCCTCGTGACGGTCGACTCTTTTGAGGTCTTTACCTTTGAGCCCTAAAGAGAAAATGAGCGCAGAGTTCAAAGTGTATTTATGCACTCTGTCTTATATCAAACTGGGAGTGGGACCGTGCGTTTTGAAGCCGGAAGTTGCCTATGCCAGACCCAAGTAGGAGTCAGGAACACGTAGGCTGAGGGTTGTGATGTCAGTGTTTTCTGTAGAGAGAGTAGAAAGCACCTCTCATTTTTCAGGCATCAGATTCTCCTGGAAGTTGCTTTCCTTCTTGCTGCTTCTTTAGATAATTATGTGCCTATGGATTTAATTTATATTTGTGTGAAATATTAAGTGGGAAAATCTGTAGGCTCACTTATCATTACCTGATACAAAGTTTATTTTCAAGATAGGGAAGAAAAGAATGTTGAGTCATGCCAGAGGCCTAGAAAAGAAATCTAGTCTAGTAGATAGTCTTATATTTTTGCTCACTAAAATTTGGAATATATTCATCGAGTATTGTATTGAGGGCTTACTACTTGCTGGGTACCACTTTAGGTGCGTGGCATACATGAGTGACAAGACAGATGTAGAACTGGGACCCATGGAGCTTCTAGGCTGTGGGACAGATAAAGAATACACAGGGTGAATAAGGAATTACATACACTGTGACATTTTAGATAATGATACTGGTTAGTGAGAAAAAAAATGAAACCAGGAAAGTGGAGAGGAAAGATACACTTTTATATGCATTGGTAGGAAAGGTCACAAAGAGAAGACGGGTTTTGAATAAAGTCTGCAAGGAAATCAGAGAGCTGGAAGAACATTCCAGAAGTTGGCAAGTGAGAATGTCCCAAGGGGGACGCGTCCTCACTGTGTTCCAGGAGCTGGGGTATGTGCTTAGGCCAGAAAGAGGTGAATAAGAGGGGAAATGGTAGGAGATGAAGGAGCTTGTGATGGGAAGAATATTTCTGAGAATGGTAAGTTTCAGAATATTTGTAATTATTTTGATGGGGAGCAGAAAACAGTTTTTAATCTTTAGAAACTTCAAATTGGGGAAAAATAAATTTTGAAGCTGGTAATAGTTATCTAGGCTATTGGTGACAACAATTGGACAGGTAGACATTTATTTTCTTGGTGGCGTGGTGTTTATGTGAAAATGGGATGAATTTCAAATTTGAGGTCAGAGATCTGGGGCAGGAGGATTGCCATGAGTTCAAGACCAGCCTGGGCCCTATGAGCGAGCTCAAGGCCAGACTACACTACTTAGTGAGATCCTGTCTAAAAAAACAAAAGAAAAAAAGAAAAAAATTGAGGCAGAAAAGTCATTAAATGATAAATGGTTGTTTCAATGCACCTGCTTCACTTTTTAACTAGTAACTATAAAAATTACCAGATTAAGACACTCACCTAGCCCCCCAAAGAAAGTAATAAGCACTAAGGAGTAATAAAATCCAAGATGTGTAAATTTTGTTGTAAAAAAGAGAGGGAAAAAAAAAAAGAAAAGAAAAAGAGCTCTAACGGATATAACAGCAAGCTGACTTTATCAATGTTTTTGGAACATTGAACACAGCTGTTTGCAGTCTCCCTGTTTGAATGTCCACCTTGTGTTCTTTGATACTGTGATTTGAGGAATTATTTTCAAGAAAATAGTGTGTAATCTACTAGCAGGTAATTTCTTACTGTTATGTTTTTTTTGTTTTGTTTTGTTTTGGTTTTGTTTTGTTTTGTAGTTCTGTATTGCGTGTACCCTTACGCCGCTTTGGTTTGTTTTGTGTTTTTCTCTTTTTCCTCTTTAATAAAAAAAAAAAAAAAAAAAAGACACTCACCTAGGTTAAGACGTTTTGATTAAGTAAGATTTTCCTCCCTTACTCCACTAGTAGATAAATAACCTCTTAACAGCAAAGTTGTTGGATTTATTCAGCAGAAAAAATCTGACTTTGGTTTTTGGATTTGATTAATAACTTTGTAACCCACTAAAAAATTCCCAAAACTCAAAACAAAAACATCCAAAAGAATTATTTAGTCCTTAGAATTTTAAAAATATGTAAATGAGATCATTTTTTCATTGTATCCCTAATGAGGGCAATTTTGTAGATTAGTGAATTAATAAAATGAATGTTTCGGTGTCTATTAAACTATTTGAAAGAGATAAATATATATATAGTATTATTTTGATAATGTTTAAAAATTGCATTTATATTATCGTAGCTGTAATTCTGTTGTTTAGGGGCACACTGTTACATGCTTGTTATCTTCTTTCTGCCTGTCTCCTTTCCTTCTGCCTGCTTTTTGTTCACATAATGATTTGTTCTCATCCTTGCCATGGGCGGAGGGAAAGAACAGTGCTTGAAATTTTCAGTTTGTTGGTTTTAAAAATTGTACTACTGATCCAGTTGAGGATTTCATTATTCTAGATATTTTCTCACCTGTTACCAGAATTAAGAGATTACTGTAATTGAATTCAGAGTTTTTGACATTCACATTCCTGTTACTAATTTTAGTATGCTTCATAATAGTCAAGTAATATGGATGGCATGCTTTCTTCCTTTTAAGGATGGGATACTTTTAATGAGAATTCATTTAATTCATGCATTCCTTCAAGCAAAAATAACAACACTTTAGATTATTGTGTCATATATACAAGAGGTTCTTTTTATATATTTTTCTGACTATAAACCTGGTATATTACAGGAAATTTGAAAAGACAAAACAAAAATAATTAAGTAGAAATTACCCAATTTTTTCCCACTCCCCATCACTTCCCTACACCTTTTTTAGTATACAGTCTTTTGGTTCTTCAGTGATAGTAGTATCTGTATTTCCATGTGTATTGGGTCATTATTTTATAATGCAATTTAATTCAGTAATGTATGATTGCCATCTCAGTTACCTTTAATTGTTAAACAGGGATAAATATGCACTGTATGGAGTTCTTATGAAGAATAAATTGGGTGATGTGTTTATAAACATTGTCTGGGGCACAGTGAATACTTACTAGTGGACTATAGTAATAATAACAGTAATAAATCATTTCTAAAGGTATCAGTTCCAGCTCATAGCATAAGAATATTTTTTAGTGTTGCTAATAGACATTGTTAACTCTCTCAAACTGGGCTATGAATTTCCTTCCACAATGTGTGACAGTGGCTTTTGCCTTGCAAGTGCAATTAGCTATGGGGATCATATTTTTAAAATCTTTCCCAAATTGATGGATGGCCAAAATTGGTGCTTCGTTTTAAAAAACTTTGCATTTGGAAGGTGATTCAGCAGTTCTCATGGTTTGTTGACCTTTTTGCCTCTTTCTCGAAAAAAGCTAAGGTTTCAGAACAGCTAACGGAATTACACTTTTATTAACACTGGGACATGTGGAAGAGGCTCTATGTCAGTAAGACATACTTTTCACTCGAGAGGGCTACATGTTTGCTGTATAGGTGCCCCTGCTCTGGGAAGGATGTTAGCTCAAGTTCTAATGCCGTTCCACGGAGCCTTGTTCACGTCTTGCTTTCTCATTGCCTATCTCTGTTTGCATTGCAGAAAAGCACAGGCCGGCCACACATCATCCAGAAAACCTTGGCGGGACAGTATTCTAAGGACGTGAAGAACCTCAGTAAGTTTTAATTCCCACAGCCATTGCATCCAAAGTCACAGGAGCGACTCGGGATGGTGGTGGTGGACTTGGTCTGCTACCAGGGAGAAGTGGATGTGGGCTGCACCAATAGCAAGCAGGGGGTTCAGTGGGCAGCCTGCAGGTGATGCCCCAAGCTAAGGCTGCTTAGGGAGCCAGCAGGTGCGGCCAAGTTTAAAGGAGCGATTTGCAGCCGGCTTCTCCTGAAGCTTGCCTGGTGTCCTGTCTGTCGCTGGCTTGTGTCCCTTCTCTGGTGATCTCTCCCTGACCTCTGACCCAGGCCACTGTGGGCAGAGGCTTCCTTTGGCTTGTGGGGCTGTGTGATGCTATTCCTGTCTCCTGGAGCCAGTGGTTTCTGATTATTTATGCAAAGCTTATGGCATACATTTTTTAAAATTCTAAATGAATTCAGCGTGGCAGGAGTCGTCTCAAACTTCCAGGTGTTGTTAGGAGGATGCAGGTCAAACATGCATCTAATGGCTCTTGCACAGCTTGAGGTTTTCATGATGGTGGGAGGAAAATCACATATTTGAAGTATATGACCCTGAGAATGTGAAACGCTTAATGACCTGTGTCCTTGTGTCACCTTAGACTGCTTGGGTTTTGCTAGGGTGAACATTACTGTTGCTGCTGTTCCTTCCTGGACATTTTAGGACACCCTCTCCCTGAGCACAGCCCAAGGTGCATTCTGTTCATCTTCCTCTTACACAGGTGTGGAGAGCAGTGACCAGTGGCCACTTCTGTCTGAATTACAGTGGCTGAAGAGAAGGAGGAGAGCGACCAGTGTGAGTGTGGCCCACTTAGTTGTGTGCCTGTCCCCAGGCAGCACCCACGTGTGCTGAGCGTAGCTCTTCAAACCAAACCAAAATGACAGACCAAAAGGCCCAAGTGTGGAGACTTATGAGCATGCTGCTTCTAATTCATCTTCCCCTTTAGTGATGTGAAATGATTACAGTGTCCTGTGAACCTTGATGTCATATAAAGAATGAATTATTTTAGTGATGCATGCCTGTAATCCAGCATTTGGGGAGGCTGAGGCAGGAGGATGGCACTCAAACCCAATTTGGGCAACTGTGACTTAAGTGAGACCCTATCTAAAAAAAAATATGCTTTTCTTTTTTGAAACAGAGCTCTTTGGATGTAGCTTAGTGCGAAGACCTTTCGGTTCTACCCCTAATACAGACAGAGAGAGAGAGAGACAGAGAGTGAGAGAGGGAGAGAGAGAGAGAAGGGAGTGATATAGTATCACATAAAACATTTCTGTCAACAAAAATCTAAGAAGAGGTAGATTTTAAAATGCTGGCTAGTCATATTTATTTGTATTTCTTTCAAATTAAAAATGTAGTTGTGGGGGCTGGGGATTTAGCTCAGCGGCATAAGCGCCTGCCTTGCAAGCAGGCAGTTGTGAGTTCGATCCCCGGTACCGATAAAAAAGAAAAAGACAAAAAAAAAAAAAAAATGTGGCTGTACTAACCTTCGTAGCCAGCCACGTTTTTCAGGATAGAGTGATTCTGACCATTAGCGGCATGACGGTTCCTGAATGAAGATCAGGCTACGTGCTCAGCAGTCGTGGTGCCCCTCACATGTATTGCCATGAGCACAGGGACGACACTGTAGCTAAAGCTGCGTTCACACTTTTTTACATAATAGATTAGAAAGCCATAATGATGGGGATGGCTGAGTAATTACACGGCGAGTGCCATCTAACCACGCATTAATTCCACAGCTTATGTATTGCATGGTAATTTACTAGATAACTTAATAAGTAATTGGAGCAGAAATTGCACACTTTAGGTAATGTTTTGTTGGATGTATTTTTTGCATGCAAAAAAATTAGAATACCAGCCCTCAAAAACTTAGTTCAAGGTTAAATCATCCTCTTTTTTTACAAGTCTCCACTGGCTTTACGTGATTATGGGTACATTTTGTTGTTGTTTATAGTTAGGAATGTCTTCTTGCTTACTCATGAAATGCTGGTTGGTCGTAGTAAGTTTTATGTAGGTTTCCTTTGTACAGTTCTGCATGACCTGATCCATGAGTCTGTGTGCAGAGAAAGAGCTACCTCTGATACTTTTTCAACTATGAAAAAGAAATACTTGGTGCTTACTCTTAAAGGTTTATCTAATAATGATTAGAATTTAGAAGAATGTAGAGTATAATAATTGCCAATATTTGTTTCTTTTAGAAGTTGTGTGGTTAAGAACTGGTGTATTTTTCAAAGAAACTGAGATTTATTTATTTTAAAAGTATTATGCTAAAACATTTACTCTAAAATAATTTTACATATAGGTGTTCCCTAAAAACTACAAGAGTTTGTCCTCTCTTAATGAGTACTTTGTAGGTAATCAAGCATAATGCTGGCAGAAATACTTGACTATTCCTCAGTATTTCATAGATGCCTTAAAAAACAATTTCCCTGAACATGTTTCTTGTAGAGTGTTTATGAAGTGGGCAGTGTAGAGTTCTGATAGTCAAAGCTGATCCACAGCTTAACAGAAATGTTAGAGATATTTTGTATTAGTCACTGTTCTGATCATATATATTTTTATTTTCTCCAGCCATCTCGTGGTGTGTTTGAAGAAATGAAATACTTGGAGCTTATGATTGTTAACGATCACAAAACGGTAAGAATATAGAATCTGCAGAGTTTACACCCAATAGCCTAATTAAGAAAGAATGCATTTCACCTTAATTTGTTGTCTGTTACTCATTAAATCACGATAGTCATACATTTTATGTTTTGACAATATTAAATGTCTTGATTTATTTCTTGGTATTTAGAGGCACTGAGGTTTGTAGAGTTTTCACAACTCTGTGTTTTTCCTCTGTTAAATAATGATTATAATTAATAGCTTTAGGTAATTGACATCCATCATGTGTTTTAACACTTTCATATTCTGTTTTTTCTGTTTGATCAATGATTCCTAATTTTATTCCATGCCTATAGCTGCTAACATGCTATTTTAACTTATTATTTATGATAAATATAAATATAGGAGATAACCATATAATAATGATGTAGGTAGAGAGCCTGTCTTTAGTGATTTTTTGGTTAAATTTTGGATAGGTGAATGATCTTACGTTACACCCATAAAAGTAAAATATGATCGAGTGTGTCATTTCAGTAACGGTGTAAATAGATGTGGAAAGCAATCATTCCGCTCCACTTGCTCATCTTGCAGATAAAGTAGAAACTCCCTTAACTATTTTTCTTAGCTGAAGCCTAGACCACACAAAAGGGTCTTGTTGGAGGTATGTGGCTTGCTACCCGACAGGGCTGGTGTGCTGGTGAATTCTGACAACCTGTACTTGCGGTGGGATTTATGTTTACTGATCTCAATTGTATAAATATTCCCACTGCGGCTAATTTCACGCTACCGAAGTGAGATCGTTGATGGAAGAATTAGGCAGCGATGTGTCTGGCTGGCTCTTGTGAGCTGGGAAGACCTGACTTCAGTGTTACTGCCACACTCTCCCAACCGTCTGGGCCAGTTGTTATTTTTTGTCATAGTTATGTAATTTAATGCTAAAAATTGCATATGCTAAATGTAGTTGTTTTCATGAAAATGAAGTTGCATTTCTGGAAAGACTTTATAAAGATGAGAAGCTATAAATATGCTTAAAAGTCAAATGTGGGTGAAACAGTTGCAAAAAAAGATCTGGGCAATAATTCAGTTTGCCTCATAGTGCTAAGTCCTTGTACTTTGTGGAGCCCAAATTAGATTAGTGGAGCAATAAAGCTGTGCTACATGCACAAATGACAACGTGATATTTTAATTAGCAGATCCTACTCAAGTGCTTGATGCATTTACATTTTAAAAATGACAATTTAATTTATATTTGGACATCAAGTCTTCTCCTTTAGTGGACCTTTAAATTAATCAGCAAATACCAATTGAGTTGCATAGAGTTTTTGCCTCAGCATCTCTCTGATTTTCCTGTGCAGATTTATTCTCTATTTCGGTGATCTTTTTATTTTTTGGTACTGGAAGTTGAGCTCATGACCTTGCACTTGCCAGGCAGGTGCTGTGCCACTGAGCTAAATCCCTGGTTCCAGTAGTCTTTAAATACATTGCTTGAGATACATCAATAAGAAGCAGAATATATCAGAATTGCATACAATTTAGAGTGGGCTTCTCTGTGGGAAGGAAAACCAAATATCTAGACAGGGATTCCAGATAATAAAGGCTAACATATGAGTTTCTAAAGGACATTAATAAGGCTTTTCGTCAGAATCGTTTTTGGTGATTGGGATATTGAAGTTTTTTTTCTAGCTTCTAAATTCTAAGTATTGTGGCGTGTTAAGAAATTATGACTTTAGAAACCTGAGCTTTCCCCAGTATCCATTATAAAAACACTTCTAAATTAGTGAAGATAATAATTAAGATGTATACCTATCTTTGAATATACAAAGTACATGCTCAGTAGTAATCTATAGAAAATCAGTTCTCAAAAGCTGACTTGCATTTCTGAAATTTTTGTTCCTCCATACTGTATATATGACAGGGAACAAAGTTATCCCTCAGAGGACAGATCTGAGTAACTGTGCCAAACAGGAAAGAAACTTGATGCATTTTCAGCCTGATAATTTTTAAATATATTCTGTCTGTATTTGTCTGTGTTTTAGGTGGTGAGACTTGAACCCAGGGCCTTATGCAGGATAGGCAAGTGCTCTATTACTGAACTATGCCACCAGCTCCCTTCAGTGTATTTTTAACTTTTATAATTGATAAACATTTAAATAATCTTGTATTCATCATATATTTAATGGAATAATACCCTTCAATATTTTTATATATAGGAAATCTATTATATATTATTATGATACCATATATTCTATGATGAAGTTACCTCATTCAGACTCTTACACTTTTTATTTAAAGAAATACATTTTTAAACCAATTAATTGTGGTAATTGATTTAATTATAATCATTGCTAAAATGAGTGAGAACTGGCCATCATATATTCATCTGTCTTTGGAGTCAGGAAAAAAAAAAACCCGTACTAAAAAAATTGGGAGGGAATAAGTGTTAAAAAGTGAACGAAAAAAAGACGAAAGCTTTCACTGTTGAGTTCCAGCAATGCCTCAGGTAGAAATGAGTTCCCTGAGATGATTTCTAGTCCTGTGATGATAAAGAAATATACTTCTTCACTAATAGATCTAAGTACGTTCCTTTACGTAAAGGCCAGGTTACTGTATATTCTTTTCTATTGAAGTCCCTAGTAAATGAGTCATTTTTAAAGTTTCTTTTGAGAGCTTAAAAAAAGTCCTTTTTAGAGACATTCTTTATAGAAGGTGAAGCTAGCATTTAAATGTAAGTCCTACAAAACACCGAAATACAGTAAATCAGAACAAAGATCAGGTACTTAGAGAACGAGCGCATCTATTTTTTAAAGTTTGGAGATTTGCTCTTGGTCTTTAGAATAATCATCGCCCCCGAGAATACTCATCTAACAGTGTTTATATGACATGAGAAAGCAGTTGTTTTGATAATGATTACCTTTGGGTTCAAAATAAGTTCTAATTTCACTTTTTTGAAAAGGCAGATTTCTTAAAAGATTTTATTTGCTCAGGGAGTGAAAACAAATTTGCCAGTTTAGGTGTAAATTGTTTGGAGTGATAAGAAAATGTGAAGTTAAGTTTTATCCTGAGAGGAGATTGCATATTTTTCTTTATTTGCAAAATTAGTTCTTATTCATGCGGGAAATAGAAACGTTTTTGCCTACATTTGCATTCAGGTTTACCTCTGTAATTTAGAGTAACCTAATATTGGATGCCTGAAAAATGCACATATTTTAAACAAGTATCACATTATGGTGTTTTTCAATTAGGCAGAAAAATTTCTCCATTTTCACAGACAGTATCTTAGTACCTGGTTGGCAGAACCTAATTGGTAAACTAATTATAGCCTTGATAAGGGTGTGCAAACATTTCTTTGAGTCTCTTAAGCTAAAAAAAAAAATATTAAAACTTTATAATAATTGAAACTTGGTGGAAATACTTTAGTTGTGTGAAAAGCAGGTGTTTTGCTTACCTTTTGGCTAATAAGAGCAACTTTTTGGTCTTATTAGGACCTAGTAGGAGCTAATAGGAGCTGATAAGGACCAACTTTTAAAACTTAAATCTCAATGTAGTTTTCTTTTTATTTTTTTTATCAGTACCGGGGATCGAACTCAAGACTGCGCGCTTGCAAGGCAGGAGCTTATGGCACTGAGTTAAATCCCCAGCTCAATATAGTTTTCCTCACGTAAAATTCTCTACATTTATATACCCCTAATAAATTATAAGTTCTCATTAATAATCACGAGTTGTTGAGAATACCCATAAACTACTTATGGTGAAAGGATTTTTCAGCTAGATAAATTTCTCTTTTGTCTCAACCTAGAGCAGGCTTTGAATTTCAGCTGTGATCTTGGATAGGTTACTTTCAGACACTAAAGCTCATGGAGCTGCGAGGAGTATGTATTTGTTACAGACGCATCGCTAGCTGGCCCTAGGGCCTTGGTGTTCATTTATGCGGTGCTCCAAGTTAACATCTGATCATCCTAGTTCTGTCCTTCTGTCCTCTCCTGGTAACAGCGGGCTACGGGCTGTTGGTCTTCTTGGAAACATTGTTTTCATCTCTTAGTTTCTGTGACACAGTAACTATTGGACCTCACTGGCTATTTTATTAAATCTTTTAAACTTAATTCCTAGAATTATGGGACGAGGTCACGTCTTGGTTTGGGTGTTCTCCTTCTGTTCTCTCTTTCTGAATGTCAGCTTCCAGGCTGAAGTCCATAGAGTACCATGACTGGAAACTCATCACTTCCTGCCTTGTAGTGCTAGTCTTTGGGTTTCATGCACACGTGTCCAGCTGCCTGCTGGGCACCTGCACTTCAATACTGAATGGACATCTCCCACTTAACGTTCTAATTCAGAACTGTGTTCTGCTGTGGTTTGACTGTGTCTCCTGAAAGTTTATGAGTTGGAAACTGGACTCTTCGATCATGAATTTACGGTACTTGGAGGTAGTGACTTTGAGAAGTAACGAGGGTTAGAGGGGACATGGAAGGTGGAACCCCCGACCTTGGTGATGGTGACTCTGTAAGAAGTGGACGCGTCTGGAGCCAGTGTTCCCGCTGTTTCACCATGGGATGCTTCTCTCCAGACCTTTCTCGTGATTTTCGATGGCACCGGTTGTCTTTATCCAATTTTAAAACTGGGGACTCCCTTTGATTCCTCCCCTTCATCACCTTCCACCTCCAACAGGTCAGCGAGGCTTGGTGTCCCTCCGCTGTGCTGGACTCTGCACTTGCCTCCCAGGCCGCCTTCTGCCTGCAGCGTTTCCCCTTAGGTCTGTCCGCTTGCCTTCGTAATGCCTCTGAGTCCATCCACTCCCCACACAGTAGGTGGACCTGAGACTTGAAAATTACAAATGTAAAAATAAATGAAAAAAATCACATTTTGGTAAATTTTAAAAGACTTTATCAACCTTAAATTCACGAACCATATTTTCTTTGACCGTGATAGAATAAAAAAGAAATCCCCACAGAGGACAAAATATTGAGAAGTTAAATAAAATTCCCCCTAGTCTGTACGCATTAGTAGTGAATTAAAAATAGGTACCAGCTGATTTTTTTTCATTCTGTGATATGTACTTTTTAACATCAAGACACTAAAAACTGTTCAGTGACATTTAGTACCTTGACAGTGTTGTGCCACCCTTGTCTGTCTAGTGACCAAACATTTTCATCCTCCCAAAGGAACTAAATATGGAGACTTTTGCTTTCATTCTTAAAAAGTGTCTGAAATTTTTCAGCTCATAGAATTTGGTAGGCAACTTAAATATTGCCTACCAACTTGAACTATTCGCAAAGACTTCGTAATTCTAAGTTTAAAAAGTATCAAAGTGTCTGAAATAGTTTAGATTAATACGATGTTTTATGACTTCATTATGTGCATACTTAGTTTTATTTTTTTTATTTATTTACTTATTTTTTGTCCATACCGAGGATTGAACTCACAACTGTGCGCTTGCAAGGAAGGTGCTTATGCTGCTGAGCTAAACCCCAGCCCCATACTTAGTTTCAAAAGAATAGTTTCGGTCAAGTCACAAGGCACAGTAATAACAGTATGAACAATGATAGTAACGTGATGCCAATAGTTTTACATTAATGAATGCCACTGATTGCACATTATTAGTCAATGATCACATGCTCATGAAAGCGTCTCAGTGTTCTCTGTGTTAACAGATAAACATTAGCTAAAAAGCGTAAAACAACTTTCTTTGTCTAGAAACAGAGTCACAAGTGTGGAGTCAATGACATGAAAGAAGTCTGACAAATCCAGAGGGTGAAAGGGGGTTAACGCGGAAAGAGGGATATAATTTTCCAATCTTAGAAAACTCTTGGATATTTATGACAGTTACATTCTTCAGTAATTATAACTAAAGTCAATTTCTGAAGACTTGTAGTGTACGTCTGAATGGGTATGTCTTTCTTTTTCCTCAGTTTTAAAAATCACGCAAGTCTCACGGCCTAGTAGGGTCCTGGATTGTCTCCTGGAGACTGTTTCCAAAGTCCTCTAGAGGCTTGTTGAGCACTCTGCGACCTCCTCCTGAAAACACAGCCCTCCCTCAGAGTGCGTAGCTCAGTTTGCTGAACATGACCGAGTCCCAGATTTTCATGGCCAGCACAGCAACAAAACAAAATAAAGCCAAAACAAAAACAAGCCCTGCAGATACTGACATGGAATGATTCTATTAATTCACTTAATTTTCTTAAATAACCCTAACCAGTCACATGGTATCAGCACACTTTATTTTCCTTCTGCTCCTCCTCTTTGCAAAAGACTTTGTTTGGGTGATTTATTCCTCTGAACTGCAGGACGCATTCCATGTCATGGGCAGTATCCAAGGTACCGTGTAAGGAACTGTCCTGATCCACAGGGTGTTGAATGGAAAGGGAGGAAGATGTGCAATGGAGACTTTGCTTTTGATTTAAGCCCTTTATAAGGTGTGAAAACGGGATTGCACTGGTAGCCATGAAGACTGAATGAAAAAATGACTTCTGCAATGTAAATCTCACCACAGAGGTCCCAGTAGGCCCTTCCATTACCTGGTACAGTACAGTTTTTAGATACGAGTTTTGGTTTTTTTGGGTGGGAGAGCACCATTGTATCCAATGTGGCACAAACTAAATTCTGTATTTTTTATCCTCATTTCTTCTGTTGCTAAGAGATTTCTGCTTTTACAGAATTTTGAAATTTACCATCCAGTTAAGCTTTGGCAGTGACTGGTCCATCTTCTTTTTCCTTCAGTATAAGAAGCATCGCTCCTCTCATGCACACACCAACAACTTTGCAAAATCTGTGGTCAACCTTGTGGATTCTGTAAGTATATTGGTTTTCTTCAAACTATTTTGTTTTTAACTGAGATAGCATGGCTTATATTTCTAGCTCTTTTTGTTTGTTCTCTAGCTATCTCTGAGTAAACATAAAAATACAGTACTTTATTTTAGTTCATCTAAGAAATTTTAGGAGAGTTGGCTTCAGAGATACTGATACTATCAGAGTTTCAAGAGACCATTGAGTGAGTCTCAGGATTCTGAAGATTCATTGGCATTGCTTCTTTATATTTACTAATTACAGTTTTCCTTGTAAATGTTATGGGATGCAGTGTGATATTTTGATACCTGTGTACAGTGTATAAAGCTTAAATCATTTCCATCTCCTTAAACAGTTGAAAAATTTTATTAACCCCAATTGTATAACATTGCATCTAGAGAAAATCTAGACTGTATTGTTAACTAGAACCCAAAGGCAGACAGAATATAATGGAGAAAATTAGTTACCAACAAGAATGAAATAAAACTTCGTTAAAAATAGTTTCGCTTTTCTTAAATACAGGGTGTTAGTAGAGAGGTACTAATAAATTGGGGTAGACTATGTTTGGAGAATATAGATAAAATTTAAAAACTTCTTTAAGGAATACAAATTTATTATCTTAGCGTTCCCATAGTGGAATGTTTCAGAGTTTGTTCCTAGAATGGTACCATCTCCAAATAAAACTAATATGAAACCATAAAATATATATCTCTTTCAAAGTCTTCTAACTGAAAATCTTTACTATTTATATACTTTTCCTTTTCTCATTTTATGAGTTACAAAGAATGATTGCTAAGATTTCTTTTCTTTCTCTTCCCTTAGGTGGGAACTTTATAGATATGAATATTATATATTATGTTTCAATAAATAATTCATAAATAATTATTCAATAAATTATTAGAAAATTAAATACTGCATACTACTTTATTCTAATGTAAAGTGCTATTTTATACAGCCGAGTACATTTTTATCTGGTACCTATTGAATGTTCCCTCTTAACTGTGAAAAAAACCCGTTTTATAACTTGCCAAACACCTAAATGGTATTTATTTACTCCAAAGAGCTGCTTTCCTTTCTGCATTTTAAACAGCCCCAAACCACCAGACACGTAAATATTCATAACATGTTTTGTTCACCAGCATATGTTATGTGCCTGTTACGCACAGCTGAGCAAGACTATAATATAAGTGGATGTGCATAGCATATTTAATAGGAAGTTAAGACTGAACCTCTGAGAGGCAATTTACATTTGGTTTTATTATTTTTCCCTTAATTTCAGCTCTTGTCAATCTTACAGGAAAGCTGTAAAGGAATACAGAAAAGAAAACCTTCAATACCTCTTTTCTGCAAAAGCTGTGCACTTGCTGGCACCTCTGTGTTAGTCATTTCAGCACGGCTGACTAGAATCACATCTTATGAACTTCTAATTTCTGTTTGGTGTTCTCCCAAAAGGTTCTGAGCTGACTACTAGTTTTAACAGGCATTACACTTCACTCATTTTGTGTAAAGTCATTTTAGCTTCAGCCTGATTTAAAAATGCGGAGAATTCCTTTTTCCAGTGTGGTCAGAGATCACTCAGGGTTCTCTTAATCGTTCTGAAAATAGGACAGGAAACCAGCACTCACTGAAATTGCTTAATTGTGTGAATAAGTTAGTCACTGGCCCCCTAGCCTAGGAGAGCAGAAGGGTCACAGTGTAAATGTTGTGAGTGGCGCCACCCTGTGGGCAGGCTCCTTCCGCATTAGAGCCGTGATTCTCTTCCTGAGTGTTATTTTGCTTTCCGTGTATCATGGCTCCAAGAGCAAGCCAGCCACACTGCCTCGTGCGCTGTCCCCATCCTGCGAGGGTAACTGGTTGTGTTGCTCTCAGAGCCGGGATAGTTGGCTCCAGTCTGTTAGACACCATGGGGTTTGGAAAGACAGTCTTGCTGAATCCCTTTGGCTTTGTGTTCTGTCTTGATCTTGACATCCTGCATCTTATTCCTTTTAAGATGCTGAGCTACAAGAAGTGCTGGCCTGGGGTGGACATAACCTTCCAGGAGAATATTTAAGATGAGACTGAATTGCATGCTCATTCTTTCTGTTTTACTTTTGCTCTGGGGAAAGAGACAGGAGAAGCGTGTTCTCTCTGCTGAGCTAATTCTGACCCCATGTTCTCTCACCTCCCCCTCCCGTCCTTCCACTGACTCTGACTCTCTGATCGTGCATGTTTGACCCAGTGTTTGCCTCCTGCGCCTGTCCTGTGTCTACCCTCAGATTTACAAGGAGCAGCTCAATACCAGGGTTGTCCTGGTGGCCGTGGAGACCTGGACTGAGAAGGACCACATTGATATCTCCACCAACCCTGTGCACATGCTCCACGAGTTCTCCAGGTACCGGCAGCGCATCAAGCAGCACGTCGACGCTGTACATCTGATCTCGTAAGTACCTGCCAGGCTTTGTGTGGCCTCTGCCTTGACGTCTGTCCTTATTCCCTTACTGCATCAGCTAAGTGACATGTCAGAAAACAGGGACATGAACAAGATCGCCATGGCCCCCCGGGCCTGTGTTAGAGGCATGGACGTGGATTCCGGCGTGGGGTTCTGGGTGGTACCAGGGCACGGGTTCTGCTTCAGAGCGCAGAGCCACATGTTCAAAGCCACCTCACAGTCCGGGATGCTGCCGGGTCCTAACCTTATTTATGGGCAGGGGAGGAGTGGAAGGGCCAGCCTCACAGCCAAGCCCACTGTGGGAAGCCTGCACAGATCAGTTTCTCCACTGAATCCTTTGGTAGAGCGCAGTCACGTGACCACACTGAGCTGCAAGTGCAGCTGGGAACTGTAGTCTTCCCAAATGGGCCCCTGAATCACCTGAGTTTCCATCCTCTTGGAAAGGGTGTACCATGGTTTCCTTTTGCTGTAATAAGCTGTTCCCTGCCCTACTCACAGCGCAGCTGTTTTCAAACATCCTGTCAGCCTCCACCAATTCAAGCACTGCTTTCTCCTTTCCACTTTACCCTTTGCTTTCTTTTTCTGTTTTTAGTTACCAATTTAGAATAATTATCAGTATTTTCTGTAACTACAAAATGCTGTTGGGTAGGAAAAGATCAAGGGCAGAGTTTGGTGTATGTTTTTGTCCTTAATTCTTGGGTCAGAGCACAGTGCTTGTTCTCAGTTAATGTTTCCTCCTCTGAGGGTACTGTATTAACTGAAAGGCATTTTTACAACTTACACTTAAATGTCTGTAAAGCACAGATTTTGATTTCCTGGAGAAGGATGATTGATTGGGGACTGTCCCGGGAGTTTAGGGAACATCTGTATAGTGGTCATGCCTCTGGGTTTTCTTACAGCATATTTTTCTTTCCTGAAGGCGGGTGACATTTCACTATAAGAGAAGCAGCCTGAGTTACTTTGGAGGTGTCTGTTCTCGCACAAGAGGGGTTGGCGTGAATGAGGTAAATTTTATCAGTTTTCTTTAAGTGGAGCTTTATCCTTGAAGCTAGGCTCCTTTTCCTTATGACCTGGTTTGTGTCCTTCTCATGCTTGCTTTGATGGGGGAATGGAGGATGTGGCTTGAGTGGCTGACATGAGTAATTAGAAGCCAGAGTGGTTCTCTGGGTTTGTGACAGTCTCTTGGTTATCATCCCCATAGTTTATCCAGTAAATGCAAGCTAAAGTTGGCCCTTAGATTTTTAGGGCTCTAGACAAAGATATTACATTTCTGTAAGTTTTTAAATCCTTCCCTTGTAAGAATTATTTTTTAAAGTTATGGTGCTCTTCTATATGTTAAACTTACCTCATTCAAATCAAAGAATTCATGATATTCATATTTTCCTCCTATATCTACAGGCTTCTACTTGCCTGTAGAATATGTCAGTATTAACATTTCTAAATCATGGCTTGACTTTTTTTAATAAATCTATATTTATAAATAAAATTTCTAATTGGTGAGAGCATGTAAAACCCAAGTAACTCTCTTTAAACCCTGGTCACCCCTAGGGCTTGTACCCTCATAGCCATCGCTGAGTGGGGAGCCTGGTGTATTTAGAGTAAGCGAGCTTCTTGGTTTGGTACACACTGGTCTGGGGCACTGCCGTTTGTGGCTCACATTTTGCGTCTCCATGTGAGGGTTTCAGGTCCCAAAAGGGACCACATGGGAAGAGGGGGTTCCCATTTCCTGGGCCCATTTGGGAGGGAGAAGTAACAAGGAGCAGATGGCATCCCCGGATGTTGTGAGGCTCTGCTTGGGGAACTGAGATGCTGTGGGTGACAACTCAGAAATAATAACTAGCTTTGTGCACTCTCTCGAATGTTTCCCACACACTTTCAACTCTGAAAACAGTATGGTCTTCCAATGGCAGTGGCTCAAGTGTTATCGCAAAGCCTGGCCCAAAACCTCGGAATCCAATGGGAACCATCTAGCAGGAAGCCAAGTACGTACGCTGACTCCTTGACTTCGAGTGGCGTTCTTTCTGTACCATGCATGCCCTGTTGATAAATAGTTTTTGTTTCTAAGTCATTATTAAACATTATAGTTTAATTTTATAATCTTTCTCTTGAGCGATTTATAAGATGAGGAACTTGAAGTACTTCTGAATGGATTGAGGTTGAAGAAATTTTCCTTTTGAAATCTATTGAGGTCATGGACAATTTCTTAGGCTGTGAGTTAGCTCTTCCATACACAGCAGAATGTCGGGGTGATGACTCCCCCCTTGGTTCTAGCCAGTTGAGAGTAGACACAAGATTGTAGATGAGACTCCGTACAGGTTTAGTAATAGTACAGCCGGATAGGGAAGTAGTGAGGCCAGACTCAAGAAGTACATATGTAAACTCTAAAGTCATCCGCTGCGTCACAAAGAAAGTTACAATAGGTGCCCCTAGACCAGCGATGGTGACTCTTGTAGCGCTTTTAATGACAACAGATGCTCGCAATGTCACAGGTTCGCCACCACTGCCTAGATCGAGCTGCCCCTGGGCCCTTTAACTCTGGGGTGGGTGTCCAAGGAGGGAATTCTCCTGTGGCGCATGGACAGGTCCAAGAGGAAGTCCAGCAGGAGTCCAGGGACCTGATACAGCACCAAGGCATGAGGGATGGCTGCTAGGTGACACTTCTGTAATTCATCAAGAATGAGATGCAAAGACACCACTGATTTATCCAGTGGCAGAGTGTTTAGGACCCACCATAGTTTTAGAGGCCCGGGAACATTTCTAATTTCTTTTAAAATTAGAAAAAAGTCCACCCTGAGTTATATTCTTCTTTCTGGCACAGTAGCAAAATAAAATTTTTAAAAATACATTTCTTTGGCAGAAGTACCTCCGGCCCACAAATGCGATCTTTTGTAAAGAGAAACCGCTCTGGCTTGTGTTGGCTCATATTATGTCCTGAACTAGAAGTTCAGTGGAAATCTCTTCCCGTCTATGTAAATAGGAGACACTAGTAGTAAAGGTTTCCCTTATGATCCCAGCCTCCTTCAGGAAGAAAAAGGAAAACCACCTTTGGGTTATTCTACATTTTATACATTTGGAGGCCTTAATACATAATTGTGGCAGTAAAACAAAACATATAACCACGGGCCTCTTGAAGTATTTGGAGGCATCTTGCAAATCCCCACCGACTTACATTTCCTAAGGTCTTCCTAGTGTGTTTGCTTTTTAAGGGAAATACCTGTTCCATATTAACAGGGATGCAGGAAGTTTGTCAGCTAGTATAGATACCTTCTAATCAGAAAAAATTGATACCAGATTTGCAGCCTGGCCTGGAGGGCAGTGTTTGGGTTACTGAGTTGGATGGTGGAACACAGTAAGAAGCTGAGTTAGTACCTGATGCCTCCTGTAATTTCTTCCTTTTTACAATCCTGGGTTGCTTTGTGAATTCTTTGTTTAGCCAGCTGTTTCATTACTTCCAAAATCTGAGTGTTTTTTTTTTTTTAACCACTTAAAAAAAGTTTCTTTAAAAACATCTTTATCTATGACAGAAAAGAGAATTGGAAAAACAAATGAAAAGCAAGCCCATAGCTGTATCATTACGTCCATCTCTGGTCTCTCCATTACGTTTATAATCATTGCTTAGGTGACTGTGGGCACTGCAGTTGGATTTCTGTCTTTTTTGAGACCTTTGAACACAGTCTTCTTCAGGTCTCTGCCTGGGCTGCCTTTGACTCTAGGGAGTTTGGTTCTCTTTTCTTGCAATGAGAAGGACTTCAGTGATAATTTTAGGGGTTCACAGTAGGCACAGAAGTACACCGTGTGAGTGAACCCAGAACTAATCTGCAATATGAGCAGAGTGCTGGGATTATAGGTGTGCACTACCATGCCTGGCTTTCACACAGTAGAAGTTAAACCAGCACTGGGCTTTTGGAGTCCCAGCCTAGGGTCTGTCTCACCAAGGACTTCGGAATTAAGGGCCTCACGGAACTGTCTAAGTTTTAAAGAAGGCAGGCATGATTTTATTGGCTGCCAGCTGTGGTCTCAGGCACATCTTACACTTCTGGCAAGCACAAGAAAATACTGTTTTAGGTGAAATATATTTTGCTGTGTGAGGCTTCACTTTCCGGACCTATTTGACGTGAATTTGATAATACAGCACTTTTTGTAGGATCTGTGATGCAAATTAAAGATGTGACTTTTGTCACTTCCTTTCTCCCCTGTCGCTCTTTGATTTCCCTGGAATAGAATGTGACTGCACGGAGTCCTGGGGCGGCTGCATCATGGAGGAAACGGGGTACGTTTTTATTACGCATGCATTTGATACATGCCTTTTGCTGAAATTGCTATGGTCTCTTGAGTACTGGCATTTTAGACTAAAGACAACATAAATTCAGTAATTAATTCTCTGATATTTTAAAACTGACAGGACTAATTCATTGTATATTTTAATTTTTTTTCCTTAAGGTTACTGATCAAAGTGAAATGTATTAGCTACTTCTTAACTGTTAGAAGAAGCCTATTACTAACTGCTTCTAAGTTTAGAAGGGGCATTAATTTTTTAGTACACTCAGAATTTAAAAAGTTGTTTGCCTGACGCAGTGAGTGAAAAGCAATTCAGTCATCAATTTACATTTTAAAGAACTTGTAAATATATATATTTATAATCATAAAAATTGTGCTATAGTTCTTATAGAATTGATAAAGCTTTTTTTTTTTATAAAGTCAGATTTATTGTTTCTAAATTAATCTTCTATTAGTAGGCATTTGGACATTCGCTCACCAGTTCTCTCTTTTCATTTGCAAATACTTGGGGAACTTGCTCCAGTGACCTGAGGGCTGGCAATGCTGCCCTTTCCTGGAGGCCCATGGTCATGCCAGCTGCTGTTCTTCTAACGGTAGCCAATCTTAGTGGAGGGACAAGGGTCCGTACTCATGTGCTTCTCCTGCTCCTTTGGCCCATGCTAGATGCTTGCATGGTACCTTGGCATTTCTGGTACTGTCTCGGCCCCTCTGACCTTGGTTTACTGAGAGCCCACCCACTCCTATAGCCCCTGCCTTATCCTGGCACTTGCACTTCCCAGGAGTCCAGTGCCAGGGCAGAAGAGGGTATCCACGGCCAGTTGTTCATCTCCGCTGCTTCAGAACGTTTTCCTAGAAAGACAGCTTAGCCTCGAACTCCCGGCTTCCAGGGTCACTGACTGGTCCCACAGCTTTGTGGCATGTGCACCTGGAAGCCTCCTGGGTCTGCCGTTGGGAGGCAGCACCGTGTATATTGTTGGTTTTATAGGGATTTTTCTTGTCTTTTAAGCTGTCAATTTCTAAATGAATTTTTGATCTGACTACTCATAGGCTGTACTAACCTGAGGTTTAATCCCCAGGGCCACAAAGAGAGACTGTTTGAAGTTAATGTATATTTTTTCAAGTATTCGTTTCTGTATAGTTCTTTTTCTTTCCTTTTCTTTTTCTTTTTCTTTTTTTTTTTTTTTGTCTTTTTCTTTTTTATCAGTACCAGGGATCGAACTCACAACTGCCTGCTTGCAAGGCAGGCGCTTATGCCGCTGAGCTAAATCCCCAGCCCTCTTTTTTTTTTTTTTTTTTTTTTAATTGCTAGAGATTCATAAGTGAAGTAAATCTGTATAGTTCTTTTAAGAGATCTTTGGTCACTGTCAACAGTGGCTGGTTTTGCTTCCATAAACTGTCCTCATATGTCACAATACATAAAACTATTGGAATATATCCTGGAATAAGTGGCCCATCGCTTTTAAGTCAAGTAGTGTTACAAAGATCCTTGGTGAATGACGGTGTAGCTTCAGCTGCCCGTGTGTATAATATGCTCTAATACCGATGGACAGATGTTAATTTGGTTAAGGAGAACACAGAGACTCACTTTGCATTCCTGGTAAATCATGAATATCAGCAAATAGTATTTGAAATTAGGAATAAAGAACTTTATTCACAGGATTTTACCTTAATTCTGTTTTTATCGTGGGTACACATACCATAAATACATATGTACATGAGGTATGATAAAAAATACGGTGAAGGCTTAAGTTTTAAAATTTATAGTAAAGGACACATTGCCATCAGGTCGATTAGAATTTTCCCCTGGCTCTGGACACACTTACCTCTTCGTTCTGGCCATGTTCTGAAGCGGCTCGGGAGGGCCTCTTTTGCAGGTGTCAGCTGTGATTTTAATTACACGGCTGTGATTGCCTTGGTGTCCGGATGGATTCCCTACACTTACTTTCTTGGTCCCTCTGACTTTGAGAAAAAACCAGAGGTCACACTGCCAGCTGTGGTGAATAAGGCAGATGGAGATGCATGGTAATGTTTTTGTTGGACAGAAATTGCCATAAATATTTGAATTGACTGAGGTTGTGGAGGTCACCTTGAGAAGACCCTCCCAAAAGAGTACTTGAGAACTGCTGCAGAGAGAGGCAGGAACAGAGGGGTTTGTGTGTTTAAATCATGGAGGGATATTTCAAGGGGGATTGTAGCAGTGTGCCTTTTATTGTAATGAATTTGTAAATTTTTATCTAAACATTTGCTGCATGTTTTGATTTTACCTCATATATGTACATGTATATTCTAACACATTTCTTTAGGGTTTCCTTACTTACCTGAACTGTGCCATCAAAGTCTGAATGACAGGTCTGTAAGAAATGCATCCTTCCAGTGACATGTCCCAGATCCAAATCTAGGAGGCACATGAATTCTTTTTATTCAGGACAGAGTCAACGAAGTGCTGATCTTTACTGAGACATAGCAGATTTTAAAAATGACTACATTTGTTTAAACTATTAATTAATTAATCAGCCTTTTATTAGACAGGGTCTCATTATGCAGTTCGGGCTGACCTCGAGCTCACTTTGTAGCCCGGGTTGGTCTCGAACTCACAATGATCCTGCTGCTTTAGCCTCCTGAGTGCTGGGAGATTACATTTTAAAATACAAAGACAAAGACATTTCATAGAGAGCTTAAAAAAAAAAAAAACTTTTAACCAAGGTCATAAGAGGAATTGTGCACTTAAGAGGATGTAACCTAACCCTAATTCTGGGACTTTCTTTTTATTTCTATATTTATAAATTCTAAAAAACAAACTTGCTTAGGAATTTGGATATAAGTGACTTGTCTGAATTCGTGTAGCTTCATCTGATACAAATGAATATTTTGTTCTGATTCAGGGGTTTTATTTTCCTCTCTGATAACTGCTTTTGGTAAGTTATTTGCACAATGAGTTCATTGTCTTTTCAGGGTTTCCCATTCCCGAAAATTCTCGAAGTGCAGCATTTTGGAGTACAGAGACTTTCTACAGAGAGGAGGTGGAGCCTGTCTCTTCAACAGACCCACCAAGGTTAGTAACTCAGAACAATAGCTTTTTCTTCAGGGAATCACAATGGAACAGCAGCAGATAGCACATTCTTGCTCCAGAAAGCAGGTTACTTGTCAGTCAGATTAATATTTAATTTCAGAAGCACTTGTCATGTTGAAGATTGAGTGCTCTTTGAGACATTACATTCTAAATCAGTATCTAGTTCAGTGCTAGCTTTTCTCCCAAACCCTCTCCAAGCAAAAATCCTTCAGGTTAAATAGCTTGAAAATTTCCTGCTAGAGTGTTTTCACCTTGCTTCTAAGAGGGGAGTGGGTTAGATTAAGATAAAATATTACTTTAATCCATTTATCTGGTAACAATAATTCCTCCTTGATACCCTTCCCAGGGACCTAATTACTACTTTCTCCCCCACCCCACTTTCCTCTGCTTTTCCCTCCTCCTCCTTCACTTCTGTTTTTGGGGGAGTGGTGGTCCCTCCTCTCAGCTAGGAAGCATCCCTAGTGTCAGCCATATAACGACCCCAGATATTTGGGACCCCAAAAATCTCCTTTAACCGACTACTTCATGAGTCAAGTACAGTTCATTGCTTACAAAATGCTTAATATTCTGCAAGCTGAGAGAGCAGTGAATTCGTGTTAACCTTTTCTAAAAGAATCAGTGACTCATGTGAACAACTGACAGGATAATTTATCCCATACTCATCATTAAGTGATACCGCCGGAGCCAGGAGCCGGTAGCGTGATGGCTGACATCTGTATAAAATCGCAGTAAAGCTGTGGAAAAAGGAATAGAACTTTGAAAATGATCTTCTGTCATTAGAGGGGGCTGCACACCTTGCCTGGCATTGATCTCAGTGGATAGAAGTCCAAAAGCTTCAAAGTGTTTGAAATGGGTGAAATTAGAAATAAAGAACTCATGTGAGATGCTGGCATTTTCAAGATGCAACGTACATGGCTAATTTTACCTAGCTTGCAGTGTACCAGGTAATTTAAGCATCGTGCCTGAGAAACAGTGCTGAGTTGTTCAGAAAGGTTAAAATTTTTAGTATATGCATAGTGAGTCATCACTGCATTTCTCAGATTGCCTGTCAGTAAGAAGAAAATTGTGCCAGTACCATGAATCCTATATCAGAACAACTTCTAGGCAACAACAACTTGTTTTCTTTTTCTTCTTCTTCTTCTCCTTCTTCTCCTTTTTCTCCTTCTTCTTCTCCTCCTCCTCCTCTTCCTCCTCCTCCTCCTCCTTCTTCATCATCTTTTTGGAGACAGGGTCTCGCTATGCAGTTCAGGCTGGCCTTGAACTCTCTAGCCCAGGCTGACCTTGAAATTGCAGGGATCCTCCTACCTCAGCCTCCCAAATGCTGGAATTACAGGCATGTGCCACCATGCCCAACTAGCAACTTCATTTTTGAAAGTTAGTAATTATAAAATTGTTTCTCCTTTTAAACTACATATTACAATGGTTACAAAAGAACTCTGTGGTTTTCAGTAGAATAGTTTGTACGTGTGTGTCGAAGAACAGTGTTTTTCCCCCAAGTGTTTTTAGTCAATGAGTGTGTATGTGTGTAAATTCACAGTATCCGTGTGGGTACTTTTTGTGCTGTGGGAATCTTTCCAACGTCTGCATCTTCGGTCTGATTTGTGACACTGCCCTGTGTGAGGGTGGAGAGACAGCTCTGAGGGAGACAGCGGTGTCTGATACAGGGTGCGGCTCAAATTCTGGTTGGCTTTTTCCACTTCTCTTCTCCTGTCCTCTAGTTCCAGTAGCATAGCGATTCAGGCTGTCACTTTCACGTCATGGGCTCCTGCAGAGGAGCCCACCCCGAGAGCCTGCAAACTTTGCTTGCTTCCGGCAGTAGTGGTACCTTCTGGAAGCAGAAGGAAGGTCAGGTCTTCCCTGGGTGCATTCGGTGGAAAGTACCCTTTCCATGGCGGGTGGGTAGCTTCTGGGGTAGAATTTCTTCCTCCCCCTCATAGGCAGCCTCTGAGCATTGTGTTGGGGTGTGCCACTCCTGTCTTCACCCAGGGGTAATCATGACACCCCAAGAATCCCTGCCTTGGAGGATGAGAAATAGGCATTGTTCTTACACTCAACTGCTCTGACAACTGGTCTGTAAAACATTTATCTGGAAGCAAGTTCATAGCGCTAGTAGGCTGAATTATGCTTGGAGTTTGACATTTCCACCAATCCCGAAATGATTAAGAGGTGTCTGTGCATTTATGCCTGTGTCTGTATGTTTACTTAATATGCTTCACATAATTCAGGGAGAATAATGGGCTTCCATTTCTAGCAACATTGTTATCTAAGTTTATTTCTACTTATTTGATTAAATGTATCATACTGTGCTCTAACCAAAGCATATTCATCTTTTTGACATTTTTTTATGTCTTCTCAGCTACTGCAAGTCAAGTCAGCAGATTAGGTATCTATAAGTCTTACTAGCAATTTTAGTTCTGTTAGCAAATATGAAAAGTGGTCTATTCCTCCTGACAGCTTGTCTTCATAAAAAAGTAACTCTCATGCTAGAATTTGTCCCTGGAGCAGACCCCAAGAGCAATCAGCCACCTTCAGATGTGTCTTTGGAAGTGTTATGAATGAGTCCCACGCAGACAATTCCTGCCACGCTACAAGGAAAGCTCACAGGAGAATGGCACACAACACATAGCTGATGCTGGCCGGTCCTGTGGCCCGGCTGGTGTGGACCTTCTGTGATAAAACGTTTTTCCTTTGTGTCTCTTTCTTCTTTCAGCTGTTCGAGCCCACAGAGTGTGGGAATGGATATGTGGAGCCTGGGGAGGAGTGTGACTGTGGCTTCCACGTGGTAGGTGTCGAAGGCTTGCTTGCCTTCAGGAAACCCTTTCTCAGCGTGCAGGCGTGGAGCTAGGGAGAGGCTGGGGTGTCACTCACCGTGGTCTCACCGCCTTTCCAACGACTGCTTCAGCCCAGCTCAGACCAGTTAGAATGAGTTGTGTCTTTCTAGCCTTGTCTGAAAAAGCCTGTTGGATTGTTCTAATCAGATTCTCTCCCTCTTAAAAATCCTTAGCTCATACTCAGATAAGTTTTACAAAGCCAGGGAGCATTTTTTTCCGCGTTGTGTATTATTTTTGCCTCTGTAACGCTAAACTGGGTATTCAGGGTGTCGTACAGCTAACAGGGTTGGGGTGGCCTGTTAAGAAACAAACCTGTTCTTTGATAGCGATCCCCTTCCCCCATCGGACTCTGCTGAGAAATTCGGCAGAAAAGAGTCGGGCACTGTTTAAAGAGACTGATTCTTTCCCGGATTTGCACTCGCTGTGTGAGTTACCAGGTAGAGTACTGCAGGCAGCCTCGACCCAGGCTCTGGCTCACTCCCGTGTGCATTCTCCCCCAGGAGTGCTACGGACTGTGCTGTAAGAAGTGCTCTCTCTCTAATGGGGCGCACTGCAGCGACGGGCCCTGCTGCAACAGCACCTCATGCCTCGTGAGTATGGGCAGGGCAGCCTGGGGTCTCAGAGTGTGCGCTATGTGGTTCTGTAGCTCGTCACAGCCTGATGCGCTCTGGCTTGATAACTTTGTAGGCTCCATTGTTTCTCCTAAATTCTGTGGGTCACATTTACCTTTTCTGTTATTTGCTATTACCTTATCCTACAATGCCTCCTTAAGAAAATATACCACCCAGATTCCAAAATAAAGACTGAGTCACTCTGTTAACACATAATCAAATTAAATTGTTGAAGAAGAACAACTTTTATGATTTTTTTAAAAAACAACATGACCTGCCTTTAACCTGTTTTTCTTAAAAACTTACTCTAGACCCAGAGCATGAGAGCTAGTGCCCATATTTTTCCACTTGGCTTTTCGAATCCTCCGTGAAGTCAGGAGAACTAGATACGGGTGTAATTCTGTGTGTGCACAGTCTGTGTTGTGTGGACACAGGCTTCCATCTGCAGGGAACTCTGGTTAGTTTTAAAAAGTCATTTTTAACGTTTTCCTGATAGAAGACATGTGATTATCCTTATGATCATAAAATTACATAATTTTATTATTTTTTAATATACCAAGAGATACTGTACATTAGGATATTCTGAAAGATTCTAGCCTAGTTTGTTCTTTCCCTTGTCCCCTAGCAGATTATAAATTGCCTGAGGCTTTCATCTTTTATCCATCCCTTCCCCAGAAAAACAATGTTTTGCATGTTACAATGATACTCTTTTGAGAAATACGGCAGGCAATCACTGGTGTCACTCTAGGTCACTTACATGAATTCATTGTCACTTTATTGTATTTATTTAGCTAAGACAAGATTAAGGTTCTTGCTGATGGACAGTGGAGGCTGTGTGTGTGTATCAGTTCTTCAGAGAAATGTTAAATGTTTATACTGTTTTGCTTCTTTGTCTTACACAGAGCAAGTGTTTCCTCGTTACCTAATTCCCATCACATTGAAATTATTTTAAAGTAATAGTCAGAGCCAGTGGTTTTGAGACCTGACACTTCATACCTTGACTGACAATTCATCTTGAGCGAGGAGGTGGCATCTGGGTCCTATTTTACTTTGGCCCCTCTTTCGCTAATTCATGAAAGGGTTTGCAGATGATTGTGACCAGAGATTATCAGGAAGTATAAGAATCATCACTTTTTGACATATTAATTAATACTAGCTCCTAATATTGGGTTTTGATTTGCAGTTTCAACCACGCGGGTATGAATGTCGGGATGCTGTGAACGGGTGTGATATCACTGAATATTGTACCGGAGACTCTGGCCAGGTATGGAAACTGTATTTTAGGAAGGCATTGAACCCATTTTAAAGTTTTCAATGTAGGTTATTCATGTGAATGTACTTTGATTTCTTTTATGTTTTCTAGTTATTCCTACCTCTTTGACATTCTTTTATTTAAAGTAAATGTTTAATATCTTGTTTCTGTACCCATATCCTTTTTAAATTCTAAACATCCCATTCATAAACAGTTCTCTATTTTATTTAGTGTTTTATGTCTTGTTTTTTTGTCAGTATATGTGTGCAGTACATAATGGTTACATTCATCACGGGCATGTGTACACGTACATAACCTCCTCATACTTTTTTTGTTCCTTCTCTTCTCCTCCCTTCTTCCTTTTTTAAAATATGATTTATATCTAGTTAGTTGATTTTTATCTTGGTCCGAACATATGAAATAGGACAGTCACATGCATGCAGCTCTAGGGAGCTGTTTTCAAATATTTTGGAGGTACGAGCCCTTTCCTTTACCGAACTGAGTGGGAGCCCAGTGTAGAAAACAGAGCAAGCAGCCCTGCTCTGGCTGAAGTAGGACCGGATGGGAGCAGAAGCCACCTCCCTCACTGTCTGGCTGCCTGCGTCCCTGTGCGTAGCACTGGCTTTGTGGCCTCTGTTCTGGCATCGTTTTCGGTCCATTAAAATTCCTATACCATTTTAATCAGGGCTGACTTCTAGGGCCCCTTCTTCATGTAATTCTTATGTTCTTTATTTATATCATAGTAAGCATTTGTTATTTAAATAAACCTTGGTGGTGTTGGGTATCAGACACTGCTGTGAACGCCAGGGTACAGGTGGGAGTGGACATGCTGACAAGGTCTTGCTTTATGGAGCTTATGCTCTGCCTAGGTGAGCGAGGTGAAGAAACAGAACTATGAGGTCACGGGAAATGCAGGGTAGGTTGGGGTGTCCCACCTAGAGGTCCAGGAGGGCACAGAAGCTTGGTTCCTGCAGGACAAAAGGTTCAAAAAGGATTTCAGGAAATCAGGGCAGGTTCGGAGTATAGGCCATAATAAGAATTGTGAATTTTATTCTATCTTCATTTACATTTTGACATTACTTAAGCATTTCCCTGAGGGTTTCCTAGTACATCTGAGGTCCTAATTTAGTCCCCAGTACTGGGGGAAGCCTTTTTTTGTACACTATACAGCTTTTATAAATACCCTTTTCTTGATCCTATGAGAATCTGTCACGTGGATTTATTAGTTGAGGTACACCTAGTGGTGGATATTGAGATTTTATGACACTTTTTCATTATTTTATTAGTATGGAAGTGAATATGTGCATTTTTGCAAATATTTCTTATTCACTTTTAATCATACTCCTTAGGGCAAGTTCTCAGGAGTAGCATTAAATATATAAACAAGTTTCTGTGCAAGTTTTCCATAATGTAATGATGGAGTAGAAGAATTGTAGGTTGTACCTTTCATGACAAGTGTGCTGACAATCCTGACATTCTGTCTCACTGAGTTGTATTTTTAGTTTTAGAATATTTTTATAACTGACATGCAGGGTTTTAATTCTTTGTATTCAATCCTTTAAGAAGTTTTCTTGTAACTTCAGTCTTTGATTCCTGAGTTGCCTTGGAATTTATAAGAAGTAAAGCTTTTATAATGGGGGTTCTTTGTTCATTCTATTTTATTGTCAAAGAAAAATACACTTTCCTTTTTATTTCATATGTCTAAAGTGGGAATTGTATTGCTAACTTCTTAGTGGCATATTAGCACAGAATTTTGTCTTACAGATAATTTTTAAAGATGATCAGAATGTGTCTCTACGCAGTATTTTGAGTTTTCATTTACTGCATATTTTTGCTTATTAGTTTTGATATAGCTGAGTCATTTAAATTCATACTTTATGGCAGAATAAATACTACTAGTGCAACTGAGAGAGACCCTTGGTGAAAAATACAAGGTGACATGATAAATATATTTGAAAATGTGGGAAATGGTTTTTGTTAGTGCTGTGAAATAAGTTATCTGAATGGGAAGTATAATATAAGTAAGTGCTCCTGAGCTACTAATGCCTGCCTCAAAAGTAGGGATAGAATGATGTGTAAGACAGAAGCTAGAGCTGTATTTACAGGTAGAACAAAATATTCAGATTTATGGTTTTGCTATTTTAAAAGTCTTGAGAATATATGAAGCCTCATAGGTTAATAAATGGTTTACTGGTTGTAATGGTGCATGCCTGTGATCCCAGCACTCAGGAGGCTGAGGCAGAGGGACTGCTGCAAGTTCAAGACCAGTCTGAGCTGTGTAGTAAAATCCTGTTTCAAAAAGAGAAAAAAAAAGTTTCAGTGATAAGCAGTGTCTCAATTACTTTTTTCTCGTTGCTGAGACAAAATACTCTATACCCAAAGTTAAAGGAGAGAAGGTTTATTTAGCTCACAGTTTGTGGAGGTTTCAGTCTGTAATCGGCTGGCTCCGAGGCAGGATGGCACATGGCAGAGGGCAACAGTTCATGGAAAACAGCACAAGCAACAAGAGTAAAAGGGGAGGAGCTTGAGAGAAGACTCTGTCTCTTACGTTGTATGTGGGCCACACTCATTTGGGTGTAGCACTCACCCATAGTCTCAGCACTGGACCATGAATCAGTGCAAACTCTAGAAGCCCACCTGCATGACTGCATGAAGCTTTGGGGGGACATCCAGACACAAACCATAACAAGCCATCAGCTCTTTTTAGCCTAAACCAAAAACAAATTGATTAGACAGCACACATGGCTATGGCATTTATCACAAAGGTTGCTTTTTATTAGTGACGAATTCTGTAAACATTATGGAAGTGAATAGGACAAATTGATTTTAGAATCTACAGTGTCTATTCTGGTAGCACTGTTTTGTTGGTATTCCTGTTTACTGTGGTTGCATTAGTTTCAGAGTCAGTGAATAATTAATGGTAGTCGATTAATGAGATAATGATTGTGTTCTGAGTGAGTGTGTGCATGAAATATGCCACAGGGATCTCTGCAGTTGCGCAGTTGGCATAGTATTTCAGGTTTTGGTGCCAATAATCGCGTCCTTGGAATATTTACAAAAAGGTTCAGTAGAAAGCTGTGATGAATGGAGCTCATACGATGTCAGTTATTCTTTGGAATGACACAGAACTCCGAAGTATTTTACCTTGCAATGATCTCTCGTAGGTTGCTGCTCCTTAGGAATGCTACACTAGTTCCACTGCCTGTCTGTGATGATAAACTGCCCGATATGTGCAGAATCGAAAAAGTTGATTGCATCACGAGTGGTGCATTTATTCTCTTTGCCAGCCAGTGGTAATCGAGCAGCTACCTGTGCCTGGGATTATTCTGGGTGCCAGGAAGACTCCAGGGAACAAAACATACAGTCTTGCCTGTCTGGAGCCCTTGTGATGATGGGAACAACAGTAAACAAATAAGTAAAATGCATGAATTGTCATTTGCTAAGAAGACATAAAACAGGGGACTGAGATGCCAGTGAAGGAGGGAGTGGTGGTTTTGAAGAGATAAGGCTGTCTGAGAGGATGTGATTTCTGCAAAGCTGCCTCAGAGGGTGGACCGGCGAAGCATGCCGACCTCCTGGGTGAGATGGAAGGGACAGCAGAGACCAAGTTTGTGGGCCGGCTGCAGGCCAGGCCAGCACAAGGAGTCACATCGGTCATGGGCAGGGGACAGGAAGTAAGATCAAAGAGGTGATGGAGCCAGGTGGAGAGGAATGACCACTGGAGGCCAGCGGGGAAGCCGTTGAAAGGTCTTGAGCAGAGGAGCAGTGAGATTTGGTGTTTGTGTTTCTTAGAGGACTCACTCTGGTGACACTCAGGACTGTGTGAGCCTGGAGGGGAAGCAGAGGGCCAGGCAGGAGGCTGCCAAGCTCCGGGAATCCAGGTAGAAACGGTGGTGGCCTGCACAGGGCATTATCAGTGGAGATGGGGAAAGGTGGTCAGATTTGGGGTATTTAGACACTCCCAGGGTTTGTTGACAGATTGGATGGGAAGTGTGAAAGAGTGGAGAACAGGGCCTGACACTGTCGGCTTTGGCTTGGAAACCTAAAATTGGAAGAGTGTAAGGATTGAGGCTGTTTAAGGAGAAGATGCACAGAGGATGATCCTGGTTTCTGTTCCCTGTTTACTTGTTACACTTGTGTAAATTTTCCCCTTTTATATTTCGGTGGAACACTGTAGCAGAAGCTTTTGAACTGACCTTTCCTTGGCTCTCTTAAATGTGCAAAATTTTTTTTTAAAAAAAGTACTGGGAATCGAACTCACGACCTCATGCTTGTTGGGCAGGCATGCTGTGGTGCTGAGCTGCATCCTAGCCCCAATGTGCAGAAAATTTAACTTTATTTATTCAGGATAACTTTTGGGAAAAAAAGAAGAATTTTAAAATTAATTCAACTAAACGGGAGGCAAATGAGGGGACAAAGAGGTGATAGGGGTAGGTAAAATTGACCCAGGTATGTTATATGCGTGTGCAAGTCTACTGAAATTAAACCCATTGGTCTGTATAGCCAGTGTGCACTCATAGAAATCCTTAAGAAGTGATTTGGTAAATGGAGCTTGAAAAAGAAATAGCCACCCACCACAGATTGTTCTAGTACCAAGTCTATTTTGAGGGGTCAGAAATGTCAGGACTATTACATCAATAACATGGCGCTGAGAGGCTTGGTATTTATTCCACCTCAGAAAAGCAGCCTATAGGTGAGTGTCATGGTGCTAAATGCAGATTTGACATTTTCACGGAGTTTAGCAAGGTCTTGTAAATTGGTTCCTGAATAGGTCCACGCCTACATAACAAGCTAATTCATTTTCTTCACTGTCCATTTTAATCCCTTCTGCTTTGATCTCTGTGGGCGAGTGAATATAATTTGTCATTTTAGTCCATCTCATGGTAAACAAAAAATATGAGTATCTTCGCATGAATCTGATTGCCATTTAATTATTTACTTATTTATTTCTATCAATGATAGAATTCATTTAAAAAACTTCTTGAGGAGTTTATGTGTGTTATTCTAAGTATTTCCTAGTTGTATACTTACCGAGCTCATACATTTTCTTATTTTTATATTTTGAGCATATTCTTTGGAGATCCTGAACTGAAATGATACTATTTTTCAGTGTCCACCAAACCTTCATAAACAAGATGGATATGCCTGCAATCAAAATCAGGTATTTCAGACCTTAAATTTTTAATTTAATTAAAAAAACCCATTAGTTTGAAAGTTGTTTTTTTTCTCCCTCTTCAATAAATGTAACTTTGGAGGAAAATTACTCAAGGAAATCATTGCATTGCAGTTCTAACTCAGAGTTGTTCTGTGTCATAGCAGTTATTAAAGATATTTAACTCAAGTGACAAATTGCCCAGAATCAAAGATACAAGGGTTGTACAATTCAGAATCTAACTTACTGAGCTGTGACTGTTTGTCTGTTATGGGACAATATGACAGTACTGTAATATAGTTTTTAAACAATAACCTCACTATTCACATATATGAGAAGCATAGAATCATGCTAGTATCATTGAAAGAAATGTACCCTTTTTTGCTTTCTGTGAAAATTTTAAATTGCAGTCATTTCTTTGGCTTTGGAGAAGTGTCCTCTGACACCTGTTCTGAGTTTTGCTTTTAACTCTGTGGTGTCGGATGCTTCTGTTAAATTCTTGACTCTTACTGATCACTGTGAGAATCTGAGTGAAAAACCAGACCTAACTCAATCAAAAGGAGACCTTGCACGTAGTCAGATTTTAAGAAAAAGTTCAGTCGCGTGTGCCTCACTCTTGTGTGCTCTCACCTCCAGGGCCGCTGCTACAACGGCGAGTGCAAGACCAGGGACAACCAGTGCCAGTACATCTGGGGCACAAGTAGGTCGCGCCTCCTGCTCTGGCTCCCGCGTTCTGCTTCCTCCGCCTCGCTCTGCTTGCAGCAGAAACGCGCAGCTGATAGTGATTTAAAAGGAATCTAAAGGAGAGTGACAATAAAGAGAACTCTGAGCCACCAGTCTGTACAGCTCAGTGGTGCAGTGCGGGAGAGACACAGTTCGATCCCCAGCCTCCCCTGCCAAGTAATAATAATAACAATAACACAGAATCTATGGAAAACAGCCCCACAGAGTGAGAACTTCTCGTTGGAATGGAAGCGGGTTGCTCAGTGATATTCTTTGTCTAGCTCCTTGCATGATTTACTTTGTGCCTTGGCTTTAACATTTACCCTTCCCATCCAGTTAGTTTTCTGGATTTTCTTTTTTTTTTTTTTTTTTTAACCTAGGAAAATACTAGACTTATTTTTAAAATTCTGCCATTGGGTATTCGGTTCTGCAAGTTCTTGCTAAGGAGTGGTCATAATCTCAGAACATTCGCTGAATGTTAATACGCATACTCCTGACATTTACCACGCCTGGCCAGTGGCTTTAGTTCACGAGGACCAGACAGGAATCTGAAGAAATGGGGCTGCCACCCTGGCCAGTTTAGCTCCGTGGCGTTAGCTCCTGTCTGGCAAGCATGAGGTCGTGAGTTCAATTCCTGTACCAAAACAAAAAAGAAAAGAGACAAGAAAAAAGACGAAATGTGCTTTGGGGCTGGGGATTTAGCTCAGCGCCATAAGCGCCTGCCTTGCAAGCAGGCAGTCGTGGGTTCAGTCCCCAGTACCGATAAAAAGGAAAAAGAAAAAAAAAAAAAAAAAAAAAAAAAGAAATGGGGCTGCCTTGCTGCTGAAGCAGGGTGCCCTCAAAGGGAAATCAAGCGTGCAAAAGCAGAGAGCCTCCGGCCCAAGCTGTTTCAGTGTTTGGCAAATGTCATTAACTGTAAGATTTACATTCCATGCTTCAGTTTTAATAGAAGAAAGATAATTGAGATATATAGTCTTTTAAAAGATCTAAATATCAGAACTCAAGTACTGACAGAAAATCTCAGTGGGCTAACACTTTATCATTCAGCTTCCAACATGAAACAGGATTAATGATGTTTCTAAGTGTTCTGTGTCCCTCCCCAGATTCCTGCTGGTGAATCTGCCACTGCCCATCCTCAAGCCTTGGCAAGAAATTTGTTTCTCACATTAAAAATTGCATGTTGGAGCTTTTGTGAGTTAGTTCTCCAGAACTGCTAGTTAAATTCTCCAGCACTTGGTATCCAGTGTACGGCACATTGGTGGCTTCAGATTAGCCCTGCGGTATTTACACCATGGGAATTGGTAAACACTGCATCTCGGGGTTACTAGTTGTTAAAATGCTTAGTGGTGCATTACTGGTCATGGATAACAAAGAGAAATAAAGTTAGTGTTCTTCTCTTGCCTGTCTCTTAAAGAGGCCGCGGCGTCTGACAAATTCTGCTATGAGAAGCTGAACACAGAAGGCACCGAGAAGGGCAACTGCGGGAAGGATGGAGACCGATGGGTCCAGTGCAGCAAACAGTGAGTGGGCAGTCTGGACGCTCCTGTGGTTATCAATGCTCAGCTACCCCAAAACTTGAAGTGTGCATTTTAAGAATATTTTGGCATCTATAGAGCTAAATGACAGCAGACTAAACTGTCACCCTTACTCGGGAAGTCAGAAAAGTGGATCATATGCTGTATGTCACTTGATTCTTCTTTTGAAGAAATATTTAGCCTAAGTATTACAAATGGATATTAACTTTTAATTCTCGACTTTTGCTAGACTACATGACCTATAAAGTGGATATTTTGGGGGTTCCTCAGAGTAAAATAATAATATGTAATAGCCACTTTTTCATTGCTAGGACAATATATCTGACATCTACAACTTCAAGGAGGATGATTTTATTTTGCTTATGGTCTCAGAGGGTTTAGTCCATAGCAGCATGGCTCCAAAGCAGAAATACCATTGCAGAAAGGCCTGGGGGAGAAAAGTTGCTCAACCCCTGGCACCCAGGTGGTGTAACGGGGGAAACCATTGAGGGATACACTGACTAAAGCCGTGCCCCTGGTGACCCAGCTCTAATGCGCTCCTTCCTAATAGCACCTTTAGTTGTGAGCATCAGTGAATTCATCTATTGATGAGTACAGCACCCCATGAACCAGTCCCTTCTTGAGAGTCTTTAAATGGAGTTACGTAAAACATTATGCTTAACCCTGACATGCATTTTTAATCATTTCACCAAGGGCCCCCCTTAGGTACAAGTCATCCGATATCTACAGTAGAGACTTGTCCCTTCTGAAAAATGCTTCATTAGTGCATTATTGAAAGATATCTTCACCCAGGAAAATGATATTCTTTCAGAGGACATGATTTCATTTCCCTTTCTTTGGCTGATGGAGAAGGGTTAGAATTGTGAATAGGTAGTTTATTTAGGCTAATTTAGCAGGTTGGGACTGTGGAACCATTAAGTTATGGGTCAGAGATCCTTTGTTTTCTTTCCATAGCAAAGAGGATTTTTCTTCTTATTTTAAAGCAGAGCAAGGATTTAAGGGAGGTTTTATTTTTCTAGTTAATTATCTCTGTGCTGTACTTTAAGAAACTTTACAATTACATGTAGCCTTTGGTGGCGGAAGAAGTTTTAGAAGCAACAGATCTTCAACTATAATTTCTTTAAAATTAAATAAAAGTGGGAGAAGGCAGAACCTGTCGTCTGATGTCTTGCAAGTGAAGTGTAGATGTTCCTAGATGTTGATGCTTGGTTATTCCAGAGAGTAGGAAATCCCTGAAGTAATCAAAATCTGTGGGTTGGGCCACTCTGAATTTGATTGACTTTGTTCATTAGCTCCACATCTTTGGGCAAAGCTGGTCATTTCTCTGGATCTCTGTAACTTTAATAAGTTTGGGAGGCATTGGATTACATGACAGTAAAAGAGATCTTTTTGGATATCTGGTAATTGAGTATCCAAGCTCCAGTGAGTTAAAGAAAATTAGTGCGTGTCTTGGAAATCTCAAACAATTGTGAACCATTATATGTAAACTGAAAAGCAAATAACACACAAATATCCTTTCTTCTAAGTATTTATGATGTGAACCCCCGTGCAGTTTCCACCTGGGTCAAGAGCTGGCATGCAGCAGCATCCTGGAATCACGTCTCCTTCCCATGTCCACTCCGTTTCTCTCCTGGGTCCCTTCATCCAGACTTTTGTGACAGTGACTCTTTCTTTTCTTTAGAGTTTTATTTCCTGAGTTTTCATTCCTGAAGCCTATGAATCAGTTTATAGTTTGCTTCCGAAGCTCAGCCTTTTAAGAGTCTTTTTCCATAATTCAGCATTTTCAGAGTTTTTTTCCTTCCTTCTTTCCTTTTTTTGGTGCTTGCCAAGCAGGCGCTTACACCACTAAGCTCTGTCTCTAGCCCCCCTTTTTTTGAACATGCATATGTGCATACACTACAGTTTAGTTCTCCATTCTATTTTGATGGACATTTGGTTTATTTCTGTGCGCCACCCATTACGAACTAAACTGCTACCAGTTTCTACATGTAACTCATCATACATTTGTGTGCTATGCTCAGTAGAAAATGTGCTAAGTTATTGGGGAGTGAATATTTTCAGTATCATAAGATGACTTTAAACTATTTTCTAAAAACAGAGAGAAAATCCTACCCTCATGTGTATGTTAGAATGTGTTGTACCATCTTCTCATCAATACTTGATCTTAAGAAATATTTTATTTTTATCTTTTCTGGTGAGCATGAGTACCACCATCATTGTAATTTATGTTTACATGGAGTTTACATACATTTATCAGACACTGATGCCCTTTTTAATGAAGCAATATTTCCATTCTTTACCCATTTTTAAAGAGTCATTGTTTACTGAATCAGTAGTTGGGAGCAGAAGTGCTCACAGTGGGTGAGTCATAAAATTTCCCCGTGGACGCAGATGATTTCTGTTCTCTCTTCTGTGATCCTTGGATTGATAGTTTTACCTGATGCTTGTGAAGTCATGATTACAAAGTAGATACAAAAGCTGCACAGTCACCGGAAGAAAGTAGAGGTAGGAGCAAAAAGTCTTCCTCTTGTTAGGCTTTTCATCTTTTATGCAGTAAGCAAAACCAGCCAGCAGTTCACTAGTGATATGAATCCGTCTCCTGTCACTGTGGCTCTGGCCTGTTCTTACCTCTAGAGTTGGGCAGAAGGGGCATACCCAGGAATGGAAGCTCGCAACCAGCTTAGGCCGGTCAGGGTCCATCCTCAGGGCTGGACGCTTCATTGCCCCAGACAGATCTGCAGTCTTCTTGACAAGAAGAAGGGGGTCATAACCGAACCAAAATAGCTGAACAAATGTTTGTATTTCAAAGGAAATAAAATGCTTAAAAATGATGAATATATGCTTTTATTCATGCATGTGTGTGTGTGTTCAGTGAATACTGATCATGTTTTGAGCTTGATTCCTCCTGTTTCTTTGTTTTTAACACATTCAGTGATGTGTTCTGCGGATTTTTACTTTGTACCAATCTTACTCGAGTGCCCCGCATCGGCCAGCTCCATGGAGAGATCATCCCCACTTCCTTCTACCATCAAGGCCGAGTCATCGACTGCAGGTGTGTAGCAAGCCTCACAAAACCTCCTAAGATGAGAGAACTGCAGAAATCTAATTGTGAAGTGAATCAAAAATTTTCTCTTTATTGCAAGAGGAAAGTTGACTTCCCTTTCCCTACTGAGTCACTTAAAAGGCAGTATATTAAGAGATTTGCAAATTACATTTATTCGAAGTTGTGCAAGTTATTTATAGCGAGGCATTCTTTCAAATGACAATCTTAAGAAGTATTAAAAGATGAGTGTCCTTTATTACAGATTCTTGGGGCCAGAAGTGCTCTGGATTTTTGAGATATCTTGGAGATATCTATAATGAGATATCTTGGAAATTAATTTATATTTTATATATATTCATACATATATACTTTACACACATTGCTGAGGATAATTTTTAATATATTTTTAATTTATTTTTATCAACATAGAATTTAATTTATATTTTAAATTTATTTTTATTGACATAGAGTATGCATTTTACATGTTCATGGAGTTCAGTGATCTTTGCATACAAGTGTAAGTGTATGACTTACTTTACCTACATACAACTGCCATCTTCCACCCTCCTCCCCTACCCCCTATACTCTTCTAAATCCCTCAAAATCCTGTCAGCTTTCCCTAGTTTCTGCATAACAGAATGTGAGGTACATGGTCAAATGTGGAATCTTCCACTTGTGGCATCATATTAATGCTCAGAGAGTTTCAGATTTGGGAGCATTTTCAGACTTCAGATTTTTTGATAGAAATTTCCAGTCTGCATTCATTTTAACCCATGATTAAAATTTTCAGCACTGAAATATATTGCAATTTGTACATAATGTAGAAGAATTATTTGTTACGATGAAAAAAGAATTTTAAGTTTTATTTTACATAGCTGTCTGGTTTAAACTGTAGCTTAACATATACCCTATCAAATGTACAAAAGATTTATTATAATATTATATAGTTGTCAGCACATGTTTCATATTCAGTTATCTTGTGAGTAAAAGACATATTGTTCTGAGTGTCATTGTCATTTTGAGCTTGGGAGTCGTAGTGCAAGACTGTCATTCCCTCCATAGTTCGGGGATTCCACTGTGTCACTCAAAGACAGTGCTGTGGTCCAGCCCCCTTGGGGACTCCCTTATGGAACTCCTTGAGCATCTGTGCTTTTATTTTTAGTATCCCCAGAAGGCCAAACCTTCATCTGATGTGAGTAAATGTAAGATATGGAATTATGCAAAAGTAATTTTAATGATTGATTGGGTTTCAAATTGGATAATGTTGTCTCAAATAAATGATTGCTGTTTTGCCTCTCCTTTTAAATGACTGCAGGCAGATCTAGCAGGGTCTTAGACAATCAGATCATTCTCGGAATAAATTTATAGTCTTCAACATTAGTTGCTGTGATGTACACAGCTTTCTTTGTATGTGTGCGTTTCCACTTATCTTTCTCAGCCTAGTTAAGCTGTATTGTTATACTCTAAACTATCTGCAAAATATTCGGCGGTTACTGTTAGTAATTATAGGATTGCTTATCATTCAAATTCAAGTTGTTCCTTTGAAATTTTAGAAATATCAATGGAGAACTAGTTTATCTTTCCAATTAGGGATAATCAGATCCTCTGCAGTAAAAATAATAATTTTCAAAATACTTTCGTTTGCTGTTTTTGCTCAACATCTGTTTTTTTTTTTTTTTTTTTTTTTTTCTTACGATGCCACATCTGGAAGAACATTTTAGAGAACAAATGGCAAATTTGCTGCTTTTGTTCTTACACAAAGGCCCCTCCTTACTCTTTAATATTGGATGTTGAAAAACACGTGAAGAGTTAGAATAAATGTTCGCAGCTGACAAGTTTTTCTTGATTAAGGAAAAGAGGCAGTGAAGGGTAGGAAGATGCCAGGAGAAACCTCTGTCTGCTCGCAGGGTCTTCAGTTTCATGACGAGCGTGCGCCAATGCTGATGTCTATTGCTGCTTGCTAACAGCTTGCTGGTATCTTTCTCCTTTTAGTGGTGCTCATGTAGTTTTAGATGATGACACAGACGTGGGCTATGTGGAAGATGGCACACCATGTGGCCCGTCCATGATGTGTCTAGATCGGAAGTGCCTACAGATTCAAGCCCTAAATATGAGCAGCTGCCCGCTTGATTCAAAGGGTAAAGTCTGTTCTGGCCATGGGGTAAGTAAACGCCGATCTTCTGGCTTCGGCTCTTTCCTGTCTGGCTTCCTGAGGGCTCACAGCAATTACACTTCAGCTGTTTCCCTGCAGTAACTGTTGTCAGTGTCTATGCACTGATTATGACTGTTTTCTTAGTACCTCTGTCTGCTAAGAATAAATCAGGCGTTAATTTTTGTTTTGGTGTTCCTCATATCACTGGCTATTTGTATTCTCCCCCTTTATCAGCTATAACTTAAAATTGGTAGTAGGATTTGCAGAAAAACAAAGTCAATAGCCCCGTCTAGCTATCTGTGTGCCTGTCTGTCTGTCTTTATAGCTATCATATGAATGTATTTTACGAAATTGGCTCAAGTGGTCATGAGAGTTGAGAACGTGCAGTTAGCGAGAGCCAAACCAGGCCTGTACTCCTGTGATCCCAGTTACATTTAGAGGGTGAGACAGGGGCATTGTAAAGTCACTTTTGGCGTGAACAACTTAGCAAGATCCTGTCTAAAAGCAAACAATAAAAGGGATGGGAAGGTAAATAAAATAAATTTTAAAAATTAAATAAATAATAAAATAAATAAAAATATGAAAGGGATGCCTAGCAGTAGAGTGTTTGGCAGGCATGTGCAGGGCCCTGGGTTCCATGTTCAGCCCTGCACATTTACGAAGAATGGAGAGCCACGAAAGCCAGTCTGAAATGCAGTCTCCATCCCAGGCCTGATCAGCAGAGCCAGTGGGATGAGTCCCAGGCCCAGGATAGAGGACATGAGATGAGCTGTTCCAGCTCAAGCAGTGGAGCAGGAAGCGCAGGGTGAATCTCCCTTCCCCCTCTTCATCGCTGGGTTCAGGTTCTTAGTGGATTGGGTGACGCCCGCCCACATGGAGAAGAGCTTCTGCCTCCTGGAGTGGTGACCAGAGCCCTGGTCACGGATGATGGACACTTCCAGAAACAGTGTTTAGTTGGGCATTTCACAGCCAAGCCAGGTGGACACATAAAACTAATCACAACAGCTAAAAGGTAGAATAAAATGAATACGGTGCCCAAAGGGACCGAAGATCCCATGTGGCTGTCGTGCGTAGCACAGAACAAACCAGTTCAGGAACTCAACTGCTGTGTGAGCATGTGCCGAGTGTCTGCATGTGCAGAGCCATACGAGACTAGGTGTTGGATCACTGATGAGGGTCACGCTTATGGTCATCCCTGCACCACGGTCAGCTGAAGAGAAACACTGTCTCTGTTCACCTCTGCACCCAGCTTCAATTCTGTCTGGGCAAGTTTTCCTTCCCCGGAAATACAAGCATTATGTCAGGAAATGTGTTTTACTGTTATTTAGTGGTTAAAAATGGAAACAAAGCTCCTGTAAATAAGGAGGGGAAGAGGAATTAAAGGGAAGAAGGGGAAGGGGGAAAAATAGAAGACTCAAGGTAGATCATGTAAAAATACTAATTCATGCCGTGAATGTTATTATGCTTCTAAATATGTTATTATGCTACTAATAAAATTAATGAAAACTACTTGGACTAGAAAAAAGGACGATATTTCAAAATTTATAGACATTAGAAATAGAAAAAAGAGAGACATTAACAAAAACTGCGAGGAATAAGAGACATCCTGGAATGCAGGGAGCATAAACAGACAGGCAGGTGCTGCAGAGCAGACGGTGGAAAGGCCCAGGAAGTTTGGGTCTAGGGAGATCTGAGGTTTTGGGTTTGGTTGAAGCAGAGGCTCTTAGGGTGACAGAACGTGATTTAAGAGCATAGACTGGGGGCAAGACAGAACCATAGCTTTGTAGTGCTGTGTAATCGCTTACCCTGTCTGCCCTCAGCATGCGGGGTGAGGGTTATGTGTACTCTCAGCATGGATTCAAGGTTCAGGCAGCGCTAACTTCAAATCACTGGAGAGGCTTTTCAGGAATTTCTGTTATTCCTCTAAAATCACAGAATTTAATGCATAAAAGGCCCTGACTTCTTTCCTTCTAGCCTTCCACGTTTTATTTTGCTTTAAAAAGATCAGATTCGGCTGTATTAATGATAATCATGGTATTGAAACGTTTCATATACAACTTCTAAATTTGATGATTATCTCTGATGCCCACCTCTGGAAGTATTTCCCAGGGAGAAGGGTTTAAACCCCCTTCGCTTTAACTTGCACATGGTTATTTTATCTAAATTACAAGTCCATTCCAGCTCAGGATATGCTCCCAAAGCAAAGAGACAAAGGTCACTCTGAGGTCTGCAGCCTGGCTGACAGGAAGAGCTAATCTATGGCCGGGGGTGGGGTGGGGGAGCCCCTGATTGGGAGAGAAAGTGCCACCAAGTTACCTTGATGTTGGGTGTGGTGGGTTCATGCAGTGAGCTAGTGACCTATGACTCATGGCCTTTTATTGACAGCAGTGTCTCTTGACATTATCCAGATGTTTTTAACATATGTTTCTGGAAACAACTGTTTCTAAAACACTACTTTGCTAAACATTTGTGTACATAAACAGAATTAAAATGAATAATATACATGTTAAAAGTTTCTTCCTTTAAACCTTTACTTTTCTGTAAATAACAACAACAACAAAAAAAGATTTAGTTGTTTGATCTGTGTGTCATTAACCTCTTGTCTACTGCTGGAAACATGGAAGCTTGAAGAGAATTCCAGACCATTTGTACAGTTTCCTCTCCTCCCCATGTGTCCTTTACATGTATTGTCACTGTTTCTACCCACACAGCACGGTGGAAATGCCTGGTCTCTGTCCTTCTTTCTTCACAGGTGTGCAGTAACGAAGCCACCTGCATCTGTGACTTCACATGGGCAGGAACAGATTGCAGCATCCGGGATCCAGTTAAGAATCTTCACCCCCCCAAGGACGAAGGACCTAAGGGTTTGTGTCATTTCAGTTTCAATTCACTGCATACCGCATCCAGTCACACCAGACTGGAAAGGAGTCACATTAAAATGTGTAACTCACCTTACTGCAGAGCAGGGTTCTGTGTCTACTGTGTTTCTAAACATATGTTTGAATTACCTAGAACTGAGGTTAAGAAGTAAGTATGCAGATATTTTCCCATAATCATTTTCCCATAGTCACAAGTGCCAATGATTTTATATTTTTGTCTAAGCTATGCTGGTTTATCTAGTAAATGAAGTCACTTTTTATTTGTATTCCTCCAGAGGGAGTTGTAGTCCTCTGTGCTCCTCTGAAATGCTCTTTTTGATTGGGAAGGTTTATAGTTCTTAAGAGAAAATGTAAATGATCCATCCCTTTGTTTTAATATTTAAGAGGAGAAAATTAGAGTCTTAGAATTAGGAGTCTCAGTGCCACCTGGAACTGCCCTCTAATGGTGTGGTGAGGATGCCCAGGCTCTGAGATCAGTGATGTACCATGTTACCCAGGTAACCAGAGGCCACACTGGGATCAGGACGCAGGAGCCTGATCTTAGACTCATGTGCCATTGCTTATATCTAGGAACAGGCCCCGAGCACCTGTGACATCCACCCGAAACACTGAGCAATGCTAGAACTGAATTTTGTGCGTCTGTGGTACCAGGGAGTAAACCCTGGGCCTTCACACTGAGCCACAGTCCCAGCCTTCCTTTTTTATACTTTTTGAGACAAGGTCTTGCTAAGTCACTAGGTTAAAAATCTGCAGTTTTCCTGCCTCAGCCTCATAAAGTCTGGGGATTACAGATGCATGCCACTGTGCCCGGCTGGAATCACTTTTGAAATACAGCAGTAGCATTACATATTGGTTTCTTTTTCATGCTACTACTGGTCTCAATTGTTTCTAAATAACTGCCCTGCTTTTCTCCTTCAAGTAGAAAAGCAACGTAAGATCACACTGATCAGCTTCGTTTTGAGTTAAAGCTCATTTAAATTAGCTGTACTGTAGTGTGGTCCGTGTGGGAAGATGTGACTCCACAGGCAGACGGAGCTTGGTAGCTACAGTACCTGAAGAGGTCTGGCCTGGTTCGGATGTGTGTGCATTGTTCTGTAACGGTGGGTGGGAAGGAACACATTTCATGAATTTGCCTAATATGCCCAGGATATTACAATTCTGTGTGAGAGTTATTATTATGATCACACCTGTCCCAAGAAAAGTTAACTTTGCGAACATAAAGCAAACACTGGGTGCTGGGGGAGAGGGTACAATCTTTTGTTTTGTCTTCTGTTTACTATGGCAGCATTCTAAATTGTCTTCAAGAAAAATAACCTTTTTTGATTATTTAAGTCATACATACTTGTAAAAACCTTTCTGCAATAGAAAACATGCTTATTTTAGAAAATGCAGAGGTTAAGAAAGCAGCAATAGTCATCCATAATTCCATAACTCATAGGTAACGAATATATACATTTTGTTTTATTTCTTTTCTGTATATAATGAATATATACATTTTTTTGTATTTCTTTTCTGCAGTAAGTTTTTCTTTTTTATTCTTAGGACAACAAATCATTAAAATAAAGGTGTCCATTGGTATCAATATTATTAAAATTCCTCTGAATTTCTTTTTTTTTTCCCTTGTCTTTTTGAGACAGGGTCTTGGTATGCAGTTCAGGCTGGGCTTGTAACCCAGGCTGGTCTTGAATTTGGAACAATTGTCTTGCCTCAGCCTCCCAAATCCTGGGATGACAGGCATGTACCACCATGCCCAGCCTGAATAGTGATTAAATTAAAATAATTTAATAATAAAGTTATTAAATTGAAAAAGCCATTAATACAAATGAAGTTCATTTATTTTTGAAAGTCATTAGATTTCCAGCAAAACCAGGCAGTTTTAGTACAATTAAATAATGATTTCATCAGTAATGATTATTTATATCTTTTCATCCCTGTAGAAAAATCTCTTAATATACTTGTGAAATGAGAAAGAAATCAAACCTTTAAAGCTTTGTTGCAGATTTTAGGACTTCATTTTTAATATTCTGGTTAACAGACGATGCAAAGAGAACGCACTTTGCTTTCATTTTTATCCGTTTATTGACCGTCTAGAATTTAAAGGAGTGCATCTTTTGCAGTCAGTGAATCTTCCCTTATTTCCGTTGGGGAACGTGTGGAAGACAGGAGGGGCTGCGTGTGAGTGCCAATTTTAAGCGTGCTCATCTCTGTTTGCTGTGATTGTCTTCAGGTCGGAGTTCACTGTTCGCTGCATCAGTCCTGATGCAGTCAGGACTGTCTTGGCCATGGGTTCCGCAGTGTTTGAGGTTTCAGGTTTTCCGCGGTAACCGCGCGCTGTGTCTTGCTTCTCAAGACCTGGTTGATTTGGTGGCATTAGCTTTGTTCAGCGCAGTAGCTGGGCCTTCCCCAGCGCTTGCCGTGTGTAAGCGGCTCCCGTAAGATGGAGTGGGTTCTGTCCGCAGTTAAACACGTTCTGTACGGATGCAGTGAGAGATCCTACAAATATGCTTACTTAATCGCTTTCTTGATAGAAAAACTGAAGAAACATAATAAAAATCAAGATCAAATTAGCGAAAAACAAAGGTGAGTTTTATAACTCCCTTTCTACCAAATCATTACATTGTGATTTGGGAATGTCTGAGATGAACCAGTGTGTTTCAGATTTTCTTCCTTTTTTATTGTGAGTTCCTGGAAGAATAAGAAACCCAGTTTCTTTCTTTGGACTCAAAACATTCCTATAGTCACTGCCACTGTAACCACTGCACTTGCTAAGGTTGTTCGCATTGGGAAATCACTCCAACCTCTCAAACAAAAATTAGCAAAAGAAAAGAAATAGGATCATGAAACACAATCGTGGTAATAACGATTATATTTCATTCTTGTGGTGCTGGGAATTGAACCTCACACCTTGCTAACCAAGTGCTCTGCCACTGAGCTGCCCCACCAGGCTCCTGAATAAGGATTTTCAGTTACATTTTACTTCTTTTGTTTTTCTGCTTTGTCATTTATCCCATACATTAACATCCTTTTGTCCCTCTTCTCTTGTTTCCACTGGAATCACTCAGCAAAATTTTCTACAAGTGTAGAACACATTTTAACTCTGTTTAAAAGAATTTCCACTTGCTGTAAGGAGATCCACATCCAGTATCTTTAATTTTTGACTATTTGTAGATGTTGTTGCATGGTGATTCTAGTGGAATACGATGGGACGGCTGTCATTTGAGCTTACCATGGCATCGTCATACGAGAGAGAGAAGAAACAGGATCAAATGAAGTGTGTTCTGTGAGCTACGTACAGAGACATTGCTCATGGAAGTGTGGGCGTGACCCTCTTCAAACAGAGAAGAAAAGGGCCCAGCCCCCTTGTTTTATAAATGAGAAAGCTAACTTAATTATCAGGCTTAATAACTAACTTATTAATAACTTAATAACTAGTGATAGAGCCCAAAGTAAAATTTAATCACTTTAGCTTGAGTCTGAAGCCTTTTCTATTATTCTGTATGGCTTCACTGAAAGCTGACTTAAGTTATTCTGCTAGTTCTTTGGGTACAGGGATGAGAAGAAAGAAAGAGTGAAACCTGGCAGTGATTAAGCTTAGTCAGTGGTCCGTTACTACTTGTCATTGATGCTGAAGATGGAATGGAAGAAAAAGTATTGTGTGATTAGAATTTACGATTTTCTACATTTCAATAATTACTTAAGAATATTATTTAGTGTTTCCAAATTACCTTTTGCATCCATCCTTTTGATGACTTTCTTTGTGAGGGTACAAGAGTGTATAGATTTTATGGTTCATATTATTAGATATAAAGTACTATAATTAGCATATACAATTGTGTTTGTGTGCAATTTTGTGTTACCTGGTTATTTTTCTCACTAATCATGGTCTCATCAATAACTGAAGGGATTGCCAAGTTTAAAATATTTTAGTAACTATGAATCTAAGTGCAGAAAATCTTGATATTTTCACTGAAAGCATACTTCAAAATAGCATCTTTTTTTGTGAATATAACTCAGAACCTCACACACACTAGGCAAGTGCTATGACACTCAACTCCACCACCAGCCCCGACATAATATTCTGAATGAAATAAGAATCCATTCAGACATTTGTTCCCATATATTAAAAAAAGGCTGTTTTTTAATTTCATGGAAATCAGTAAGGAGATCAAAGCTATGTCTAATATAATGAAATTTAGAAAGTGAACTCTTCGTAATATCAGTCTTATAGTATGGAGCATGAGTTTATTTCATGTTATTTCTCAGCCTAAGTTTCAGTGAAATAAATACTTGCAGAAGGAACTTTGGTCTCTGAAGAACAGTGATCACTTTTGTTGCCTCGAGTCTCGGAAACATTAAGGGCCACAGGATTTTAGCCATCCTTGGCACTGAAGTCACAGGCATGAACCAGCGCAGTGTTCCAGAAACTCAAAGCAAACAGACACTTGATGTTAAAAGACCACATTTTCTAAATGTTTGAACCATGACTCGTCTATGGAGGAAGTCTATATATAAAATAGAGAAGCTTAGAAAAGGGAAAAATTTATAGTTTATACTTTAAGATTTGTGCTGATCAGAATTTTCGCCTTTTAGTGCAGCTCAGAGAGCAGGGAGCAGGGATACAAGTTATAAACCATTAACTGAAATAAACACGAAAACAGCCTGCCAGGTAATTACCAGCGACCACCAGGCATACTGTAATGAAAGGTGATTGTGTCAGAGAGCAAAGTTAAACTCCCGATACCAGGATTGTGTTGTTAGCTGGAAACCAGAAGCTCTGTCTTTAGGTTTGGTAGGGTAAGAAATGTCAGGCACATCATCATGTGTTCAGCATAATACCAGGGGGAAGAAAAGGCAGTTAGCAGATAATAACCTAGTAAGTGAATGAATGAAAAGATACAGTTACCTAATAGCTACTTATTAAAATAAAACACCATCATAGGCCCCCACTGGCCCAAGCAAGGTGTTTTCAGTGACATCATAAATTC